GCCCACCCCTTCCCCACCTCTGTGCACCCCCCTCTACCCTGCCAGGGGTGTCTGCACCCACCCCTGTGCCACCCCCAAGTGGGGGCTGACCCCTGAGGCCCTGGGGAGCGACACCCAGCTCACCCTTCCTCCCAGCCCCCCCACCTGCTCCCCGAAGCAGCCCCCATGCTCGGTGTCCATCCTGGACCGCTGGCGGGTCCCTGTCCCCCCCCCAGGCAGGTTCCTGTGAGCCTCAGGTCAGTGCTGCTCCCGTTGATCCTGGTTGCTGCTCTGTGCCACCCACTCCTTCTGAGAGCAGCGCTGGCCCCATCCAGCCCTCCCCCTCCACGCTCACCCAGGCTGCCCACCCCTTCCCCACCTCTGTGCACCCCCCTCTACCCTGCCAGGGGTGTCTGCACCCACCCCTGTGCCACCCCCAAGTGGGGGCTGACCCCTGAGGCCCTGGGGAGCGACACCCAGCTCACCCTTCCTCCCAGCCCCCCCACCTGCTCCCCGAAGCAGCCCCCATGCTCGGTGTCCATCCTGGACCGCTGGCGGGTCCCTGTCCCCCCCCCAGGCAGGTTCCTGTGAGCCTCAGGTCAGTGCTGCTCCCGTTGATCCTGGTTGCTGCTCTGTGCCACCCACTCCTTCTGAGAGCAGCGCTGGTCCCATCCAGCCCAGTCCTCCCCCAGCTCTGCTCAGTGATGCTTGTCCTGTGCTTACAGACGAGAGCTGGATCCATCCCCCTCTCTGCACCCCTGTCTTCCTCGGGTTGGGGGTTTCCTCCCCAGACACCTTCGTCTCCCTCTTCTCCCCCTCTGGCTCCTTTAGCCCCTTCGAAGGGGAACATTGTGATGCTGCACCCTGATCCCTGCCTGATACCCCTTCCCTGCCCGATACCCCTTCCCTGCCTGATACCCTTTCCCTGCCCTGTCCCTGGCTCTGGGTCCTACAGCAGCATCACAGAGGGATGGAGCATCCCAGACCCTCGCCCTCAGGGCCCTCAGTCCCACCGAGGGAATCCCAGGGGAAGGTTCATCATCATTCCCCTCTCCTTGTCTGCGTAAGCTCCCAAAGGGAAAGCACAAGTCGGGGTGTCTGCCCGTGCCTGGCTCAGTCCTGACCCATCCCATCCCAGGCTGTGCCCCTGGAACTGCCACATCCCGGCTTTGCCCCTTGGCATTTGCCTGGAATGGTGCCTGGGTGGCAGAGAACAGGAGATCACCCTCGAGCCGTGATGCGTGGACCTTGTCCTGATTTATCTGTGTACATCTTGGCTTGCTTTCTTTGCCCAGCCCCCAAAAGGGATTTTAATAAACCTAAATGAGAATTGATAAATCGCAGCTAAAGGCAGGAGCGTGAGGCTGCCTGGCTGAGGATGGAGGGGGGCTCGGGAGGGGGTGTCAACTGATTTCCCTTTTATGAGGTTGAGCCCTGTGCCCCTGCTCTGCTGCTGTGACTTTGGGGGCTCAAAAACTGTTTGGTGGGAAGGTTCGTCGTCGTTCCCCTCTCCTTGTCTGCGTTAGCTCCCAAAGGGAAGCACAAGCCGGGGTGTCTGCCCGTGCCTGGCTCAGTCCTGACCCATCCCATCCCAGGCTGTGCCCCTGGAACTGCCACATCCCGGCTTTGCCCCTTGGCATTTGCCTGGAATGGTGCCTGGGTGGCAGAGAACAGGAGATCACCCTCGAGCCGTGATGCGTGGACCTTGTCCTGATTTATCTGTGTACATCTTGGCTTGCTTTCTTTGCCCAGCCCCCAAAAGGGATTTTAATAAACCTAAATGAGAATTGATAAATCGCAGCTAAAGGCAGGAGCGTGAGGCTGCCTGGCTGAGGATGGAGGGGGGCTCGGGAGGGGGTGTCAACTGATTTCCCTTTTATGAGGTTGAGCCCTGTGCCCCTGCTCTGCTGCTGTGACTTTGGGGGCTCAAAAACTGTTTGGTTTGGGTTTTACTTGTTGCTTTTCCCTCCTTGTTTTGCGCATGGTGTGTCTCTCCCCGAAGGGCTGCCCGGTCTGTGAGGACAGTTCGTGGCAGAAGCTCTTGCAGGAGGGAGGGGAAAGATGGACGGAGAGCATCTGCTCCCGTTTAACCTGAGGGCCAGGAAAAATCCCTCCGGGAAACCAGAGCATCCCCGGTGCCCCAGCCCGGCAGGGAGCTCCTCTCCCCGGCTCGTTCCCAGTCTCAAGGAGTTTCTGCTCCCTCTGGTGGCTCCAGCTCCAGCCTCTCCTCTCCCCAGACACCCGAGCAGGAATTGGGGCTGCTGCACCCATCGCTCCTGGGTCACAGCCTGTGGGGATGGGGCAGTGGGGACACTGGGGACACTGGGGACACTCACTTCTCAAACACACCCTCTTGTTTCTTGCCTTAATCCAAACAGGGGCTTCAACACCCAGAGCATCCCGTTATCAGTGCCCGGAGTTAATGTCACGGTGATGTTTTCAGGACAAGCAGCACCTTCTTGCAGTCGTCAGGGAAACTCAGTCCAAATGTGCTGAATTAATCCATACCACCCTTGTCCTCAAGCAGGATGAGAGCTCAGGTGGGTGCAGGCAGGTCAAATCCTTCCTTTTGTGACTTTTCCCTTCTTCTTCAAGGTTTTTGCACCAGGCTGGAAGCAAGGGCTGGAGTATCCCAGTTTATGCTGGGCAGGGAGTTTCAGGACTGTCCCTTTGGAGCACTTGTTAGCTTGAGCAAGGGTTTTCAGGACTGTCCCTTTGGAGCCAGCAGCACTTGCCAGTTGGAGTAACAAGCTGCGTGGCAGGATGAGTCCCCCAGCAAAGATCCCCTGTGAGGTGGATGGCAGGTCAGATCTCTGGGGTGGGCAGAGCCACGCAGGGTTCCCATATTCCTCTCTATAGAAACTTGGACAAATTCATCATCCCTTTCAAGCAGCGTGGGACGTGCTTGCGGGGTGGTACAGGGACAACCTGCCGTGTGGCCAGAAAATTAAGGGTAACAATTAGTGGTATAGAAACTTGGACAAATTCATCATCCCTTCCACGGAGCGTGGGACGTGCTTGTGAGGTGGTACAGGGACAAGCTGCCGTGTGGCCAGAAAATTATTAAGGGTAACAGTTAGGGGGGGGAAATGGTTTTAAACTGAAAGAGGGGAGATTTAGGTGAGATGTGGGGAAGAACTTGTTTGGTGTGAGGGTGGTGAGAGCCTGGCCCAGGTTGGCCAGAGAAGCTGTGGCTGCCCCATCCCTGGAGGGGTTCAAGGGCAGGTTGGAGGGGGCTTGGAGCAACCTGGTGTGGTGGGAGGTGTCCCTGCCCAGGGCAGGGGGTGGCACTGGATGGGCGTTAAGGTCCCTTCCAACCCAAGTCATTCTATGAATCTATTATAAAACCCTGCATAACAGGGAAAGGCCACCCAAGCAGTATTTCCAGGCAGGGAGAGAAGGACCTGTGCAGGAAAAGCAGGAATTTGGATACCCTAAAACTGGTTAATGGGATGTGCAGTGCGAAACAGCTCGGGGATCTGAGCAGAGAGAGACCTAGAGCCCCCTAGAAAGCAGATTTGGGGTTTGTATCGATGTCCCAGCCAAGGTGCAGCCGTTTTTGATGCTGCAGGAGGGGTCGATGGGCTTCTATTCCACTTTGCCAAATCCTCATTAACAAATCTCGGGGAGGGAGTTGGACCCCAGATGAAGAATGTCCCCCCCACACTGAGCAGAGCCCTCGCAGCCATGGGAGGGCAGCAGCACCCCACGGGGACCGTGGGGCTGAGCCGGGGGTGGGGAGAAGCAAAGAGGCATCAAAACATCTTCTTTTAAAGCCAAGACAAGTCCCCAGCTCCTGAGCCAGAGTCTCCATCTCCATCTCACCCACCCAAACACCATCACCTCTCCGCATGGCTCCGGGGATGATGCTGTTATCCCCATCTCTCCCAATGTGGGGTTGTGGGGCTGTGGGTCCCATACAGCACCTTACCCTTCTCCCCAAAGCTTCCAGCACCACCAGGCTCTGGCTGCAGCCCTCGGCACCCACACAAGCTCTTTTTCCACTGTCTGGCATTTCTGTGTGTTGGATCATCTTGTGACATTACTGTCCCCAAGCCCTGTCACCTGGTGGGAGAGAGCACCCCAGGGCTCCAGGAAAACAGCCCTTTTCTGCCATTTGCCCCCCAGCCTGTACTTTGAGTGCCTCAGTTTCCTTTTCTCTGAGTAGGACCTTGTTATTGCAAGGGAACAAGAGGTTTATAAAACCCCTCTGGGGGGCACCCACAAGCAGCTCCAACCTTTTGGGGGGACAATTCCCATGCAGATCCACCTCCCAACACTTGTTCAATACAGGAGCAATTTCTGAGGACACAGAGTGGGGGAAAAACAATCCAAGTGTGAAGAAAATGAGGTCCAAATTATCTGACCCAAAGCTGAAATTCGTTCCTCTTGCAATCATAGAATCATAGAATCATTTTGGTTGGAAAAGACCTTTGGGATCATCGAGTCCAACCATCTACCCTACTCTACAAAGTCCTCCCCTAATGTAGCAATTTCTGAGGACACAGAGTGGCGGAAAAACAATCCAAGTGAGAAGAAAGTGAGGTCCAAATTGACCCAAAGCTGAACTTCCCTCCTCTTGCAATCATAGAATCATAGAATCATTTTGGTTGGAAAAGACCTTTGGGATCATCGAGTCCAACCATCTACTCTACTCTACAAAGTCCTCCCCTAATGCCCAGGTTCATACCCAAACTGCTGGTTTCACCATGTCTGGCTCCTGGCAGGGTCTCACTCAGCCCCGTTTCAGCCAAGATATTCCCATTTCCACCAGTGCTCTGGGGAGGGGAGCTGAGAACCCACGCTTTCATATCCACATGTATTTGCTCTATTGCCCCTTAAATTCTTGAACCCAGACCCCGGGCAGGTTTCAGCCCCAAGGCTGCCTTTCACGCAAGAGTTAATAACAGGAGGGAGCGAGCAAGATTTTGCAAGGAATTAAAACCCAGGCAAAAGAGCCTATGGGAAAGAGCCTGTTACCAGCCCCGGGGCTGGAGGTCACCAGTGCTTCGTACTGGCTGCCAGGGTTTATTAGGTCCTTGTCTGAGCTGAGAGAGTGAAAAAAAAAAGAAAAAAAGAGCATGAGGAGCTGCAGGCAGAGCGGGCGGGGGCACTCCTGACTCAAAACTGAGTGTGGAACCAGCGCCGTTTCCTCCGGCCGGCCCCGCTCGCCGTGTGTGTCACACACCCAGACTCATGATTCATCTCCTGGACGGCTCAAAACCTCCGGCTGCCCCAGAGCTGCTCTCCATCGCTCACGGCGGGGCTGGTCCCAGCATCCCACCCTCCCCTCCTTTCCCCACCACGCTCGGGGCTGGGAGAAGAAGATGGGAAAACTCTGCCTGGCTGTGGGGATCCTTGTGCTCTGCGCTGCTGGCGGCTGGGGTAGGTTTACAGCCTGTATCACCCTCGCCTGCTTACACCCGGGTCGTTGAGTGATTATGTTGCCTGTTATTTCCCCAAATCCCAGGACTTTCTGCGCTCCCGGGGTCTGTGATTTTCCCGGGAAAATCACTCGGGGGGGGAGCTGGCAGCCTGAAACCTCGGCACGGTTCCCAAATACAAAGCTCGGCTGGAGCCGGTTGGGCTTCGGCGGGGTGGGGGCCAGGAGGGTTCCTCAAAGATGTTACGGGGTCAAGAGAGGGTTTGGTGCCTTATTCTCACACTGGGTGGGGCAAGTTTATATCCTCTACCTACGCCGTGTTTGGCTCCGGGGACTGGTTTGTAATGGAAGGACCAGGGTGTGACTTGGGCTCCATCCTTCATAAACAGAAAATATTCTGGGGGAGTTTGCGGGGCAGGTAGTGGCTGTATCTGTGTCATTTTAAGGGCATGGGGTGTATTTATGCCAGTGTTTCTGTCCTGTGGTACTTTTTCTCATGCTCTTTTGGTGCTTTTCTTTAAAAACTCTGATTTCTGGCATCAGGTGATTTCGGGACAAATGTAGTTTGTATTTAAAAAAAAAAAATTCCCATGCTTGAAGCACGGAGAAGAAGCCGAGAAAAACGTTATCCCCTCCCCAGGTGTGTTTCCAGGGCTCAAAGCAAATCTGGCAACTGCAAACTGGTGCAGCGTTTTCAGCTCCTGATTTATAAATTATCCCATTGTTTTCGAGGCCCCACTCAAGGAGGTTTGGGGCAACAGTGTTCAGTTTAAAGAATTCCAGACTTTGTTGAATTCTCAGGAACAGCCTGAGGCTCCGATCTGCTGCCGGGGCGGGCTCTCATCAGCACAGGACTTAGGATAACCCCAGGAAGAGTTTGGGTTTATAGAGCTGATGTTTGGGGCTGTGCAGGTGATTTCTCTGGTCCTGTGTGTCGGTGCCTGGACTAGGTTGAGCTCAGTTTGGGGCATCCCCTCCCCAGGAAGATGCTGGCAGACAGGGAGAGGTTCAGAGAAAAGACACAGCAGCAGGATGGCGTGGGCAGGAGATGAGCCAGAAAAGCCCCTATTCTTATGAAGTCAAGCAGAAACGCCAGGAAGTTAAGTGAGTAGGGTTTATGTCTTTATCAAGTTTTCTGAACTATCTTTATCAAGTTTTCTGTGTGCACATTCCTGCTTGAATTGGCAGAGGAGGAAAAAACAAAGCGTGTGGCTGTCTCAGGCGGTACAAAGAGGAGGTTATTTGGAGGGCAGCTTGGGGACTGAGTAATTTTCTCCAGCCAGGGAAGGGTGATGCTCAACCTCAGCCGTCTGGGGTATTTCGAGAGCATCATTTCACCTCTCTGGGGGCCACAGCTCTGCCCAGCCCCAGACGGGTGGTTCCCACACTGCCCAGTTTATCCCTCCTTTCCCTGTATTTCATGTGTTAGGATTTCATTATTTATTTTTTTTTTAGGACTTCAGCCTTTGGTATCAGATCGTTACATGAGACCAGCTGCTCTAGTAGTACAAAAATTCAGCTTTTGTACTTTGGTTTATTAGTTTTTATGGCCAGAAAAACAAGCCCCAAAAATGGAAAAAAAAAAAAAAGGAACTAAAAACGACACAATTTATTAGTTTTATTAGTTTAGGTTCTGCTGGGTTCTTGTTAACCTGCTCACGGCCAGGCAGTGTCCTGAGCCTGGGAAGAGCTGCTGGACACTCACGGGGCCAGAACTCAGAGGGGCTCAAGCTGCAGCATCCCCTGCTCTCCCTCGCCTGTGCTTTTGCTCCTAAATCACCCCAAGGACCCCCTCCCTCCCACAAAGCCCTCTCAACACCACACCCTGGGTCGAGCCATGCGAACACTGCTGGAAATGCCAAAATAGAGACATTTCCCTGCAGTGAGGGGGGTGAGGCTCCTGCTCCAAGCAGGACGAGTGGCGTGTTTGGATGGTGATAACTGCCCTCTGTTAATCACTGCTGGCGCCCGGGAGATTTTGGCCCCTTCCCTGGGGGAAAGGGATGGTCCTGCTCCATCCAACCCTGTGTTAAGCACAGCCAAAAATGGCTCCATACAGTGCTGGAGGCTGGGGAAGGGTCATCCATCCCCAGGCACATGTCTTGGTCATGAAGATCATGGGGCCGTGTGAGTCTGGGCTCCTGGACTGGGGTTTCAGGCAGCCCAAGGGGGCAGGTACCCACCCATTGTTAAGCACAGCCAAAAATGGCTCCATACAGTGCTGGAGGCTGGGGAAGGGTCATCCATCCCCAGGCACATGTCTCGGTCATGGAGATCATGGGGCTGCATGAGTCTGGGCTCCTGGACTGGGGTTTCAGGTAGCCCAAGGGGGCAGGTACCCACCCATGGGACCCCCTGGCAAAGCCACCACTGCCAGCAATGGCACAGTGGCACTATGTGACAGCAGACCCCAGGGCAGCCTCAGGCACGGCAGCATCCCTCCCACAGCGACCCTTGGTGCTGCAGCTCCATCCTACCCCACGTGCTGCCCTCCGGCCATGGGGCTGCTGCTCTGTCCGGATGGGACAGCCCAGCTCGTGGCTGTGGTGCCAAAGTCAGCCAGAAAATTGGGATTACATCTCCAGCTTGGTGAGGGGGGCAGATCAAGGTCCCCCCCCTGGGCTATGGGGTGGTGGCAGGAGGGGAGGAGAGGAACCCACCAGCGCCAAAAGGCTGTGCAGAGGCAGGAGGGAAATGTGTACCAGCTGCTGGGGAGCAGATGAGCTCTGCAGCCCAGAGAGACTGTTCTGGGGGCTCGTTAGCCCCAGAGCTCAGGTTTCCTGGCACGACCGGGCGAAGCAGAAGCAGCTGGGGGCCCGGCTGGCAGACATGGGCTTGGCAATCCTCCACCACTGGGTCTCGGTGCAGCCAGGTCTTGCCAGGACCAGGGTTAGTGCTGGTCCCCAGGGACTGGGTTTATGCCACCAGTTGCCCGGGCAGAGCCGGTGGCTCTGGGGGTCTCTGCCCAATCTCAAACCAGCAGAAATTCCGGTCCCATCGCATGGCACCGCTTGGGTGGGGGCTGTAGCCATGCAGTGCTCTTTTCCCAAGAACCCCACACTGCACAGGGGAAACTGAGGCAGGGAGCAGCTGAGGGACTTGGCTCAAGTCCTGGGGGAAACCAGTTTGAGAGAGGATTTGGACCAGTGAATCTCACATCCCAGGTGCTGCTGTGAGCCCTGGGTCCTGTCCCCAGGCTGGGAGCGTGGCTGGAGCACCCATGGCTGGCAGGACACCCTACCAGTTCCACACTTCCCTAGCCAGCTGGGTGCTGGGGCAGAGTTGGGTGCCTAAACCATCCCCTGGTGAGCTAAAACCCAAGCCTGGGGGGGGAAAACCCCACACTGGCGTTAAATAGGAGTCTGGGCCAGGAGCACTGCTGGTGGTACTGGTGGTACTGGTGCCGTAACCGTGTCCCAGCCACCGTGGCCATGAGTGAGCAGCTGGACACGGTGGCTGCAGGGAGGGATGTGAGAGCAGAAAGCAATGAAACTGCTGGCATGGGGCAGGCAGCTGCTTGGCACCTCTCCCCGTGTCCCCGGCCGAGGGGCCGTGATGCTGGTCCGGGTACCAAAGCATCGGGGCTCCCCAGGGACCTGCAGTTTCGGAAGCTGTTCCCATGTTCGGGCACGAGGCCCGGGGGGTTGGCAGCTCTGAGAGTTTAATCTCGAGTATCTCGAGCTGCTGGGGCCGTCCCCGTCCTCAAGGGCTGCCAGGACCATCCCTGTCCTCCAGGGCTGCCAGGGCAATGCCTCCCCTGATGTCCCCAGGGGCTGAGTCGCCACCAGCCGTGCCAGCACCAGCTCCCAGCTGCACAGCACTGCACAAATCCAAGGCACAGCACAAATCCAAGGCACAGCACTGCACAAATCCAAGGCACGTGCCCCGGCACTGGGCTCGCACAAATCCAAGGCACAGCACAAATCCAAGACACAGCAAAGCACAAATCCAAGGCACGTGCCCTGGCACTGGGCTGCAGCTGCCGGCGCTTGGAGAGATTTCACAGGGACGGGGCAGGAGCAGCGTGAGAAGCAGGATCTGGGGCTGTCGGTGCCTCTGCTGCTTTCTAAGAGCCCTTTGCCATGTCCCCACCAAGCCCCGTCTCTCCAGACCTGTCCCCCCAAGGATGCAGTAGTGCTGCTGACACGTTGCTCAGTATTCTCCGTGCCAGGGACCAACCCATCACTCTTTTGGGCAATGCTAAATTTAAAATCCTTCCCGTCCTCACGTGCTGTAGGTGGGTATTTTGGTGTATGGTGAGAGCTCGGGGAGTGGATGCAACCCTAAAACCCGTGCTGAGGCAGGGAGTTGGCTTCTAGCATTTAGCCCCTGGGTGGGATGAGCGGGGAGTGCGGGTGGCAGAGGTCTGAGGGGGGTCACCATCCCCAGTGCCCCCCTGGGGCACATCCCCAGGCAACCATTAGCCACCGGGACAGCCACAGGGTGCCCAGCTCGGCCCGTGACACCACCCTCGTGCAGACACGGGCATCCACGACACGTTGCACAGACGGCCACCCTGCTCACACACACACACACGTTGCACACACTGCCACCCTGCTCACACACACACCTGCCCATGCACACTCACACTCCCAGGCTGCGTGCCAGCGGGTGTGAGTGCACAGTGCCATCACCGAGGTTCTGCCCAGAGACCTGACGACATCGTTTCACCATTTCCTCTTACTGCTTTGTGTTGCATTTCCTGCAGCTACGGAAAATGCTGCTTTTTCTGCCTGTGGCTGCTGGGGAGAGCCCTGGGCGGGGACGGGGGGGACACGGGGCAAAATGGGAGACCCCGGCACCCACTGCTCCGTGCTGGCATCCCTTGGGCTGCAGCATTCCCCCAGCCAGGTAGGCACATGGCTGCAGTCTGCTCTGTCCAGACAACCCTAAAACTCTGCCAACTCTTGTGCCCAGGGGGGAGGAGGAGCTGAGGGTGATGCCACCGTGGCCGTGCCCCCGGCCGCTCGCTGCATCGGCCGTTAGCAGCGGGACCGCAGAGCTGCATGGTCCTGCCTCTGCCGGAGGAGCTCCTCCTGCCCCAGCAAGCTCTGATGCTGCCCTGGGCGTGTGTGGGGCCCTTTAATCCCCCACACGGACCCACTGGCCTCTGCAGGCATTTTGGGGCCCTTTAATCCCCAACACGGACCCACTGGCCTCCAACCATCACAGCTGGTGCCATCATGCATGTCCCAAAGTCTCCACTGCCACTTCCACCGACGGAGCCCAACCTTTGCCCGGCGCATGGGCACAAACCACCACCCACATGTTTCTGGACTCGTGACCTTTCCCCCCCCTCCATTCCCTGGGTTTGAACCCGAGCCAAGACCAGCCACTGAGTTTAGCTTCTGCACGAGGAGGCACCAACAGCCCTGGGTCAGGGGTGGCGAGAAGAGGCAGCAGTTCCCCGGCCGCTGGCAGGGCTCTGGGTACCACACTGCACCCCTGGGAATTCGCTCTGTTCCCCTCCCTCCTGCCCCAAAATGTCTGCGGGGAGACACAGGGGGAAGAAGTTGTGTGTCTCCACTGGCACTGAGGGCTTCACTCCAACACACGTGTGAGGTTGCAGGGATGGGGGGAGCCTTTAAGGAGCTGCCAGGTGGGAAATGATGCTCAAGGCAGCAGTTCCCCGGCCGCTGGCAGGGCTGTGGATGCCACACTGTACCCCTGGGAATTTGCTCTGTTCCCCTCCCTCCTGCCCCAAAATGTCTGCGGGGAGACACAGGGGGAAGAAGTTGTGTGTCTCCACTGGCACTGTGGGCTTCACTCCAACACGTGTGTGAGGTTGCAGGGATGGGGGGAGCCTTTGAGGAGCTGCCAGGTGGGAAACGATGCTCAGTGCTGGGCAGGATGAAGCCCAGCTGGTATCAGGCTGGAGAGGTGATTATAAAAGGGGCAGGGAGCAGCTCTTGGGTTTTGGTGCTGGGAAAGGGGTGGGAGCAGAGCCCTGGTGGGATGTGGGGCTGTGCCTGCTCCTGAAGCTGCTGGCTGAGCACTGAGAATTCAGCACGAGTGTAGATTTTGGGCTCTGCTGGTTGTAACCACTCTGTGTTTTGCTGTTTCAGGGGGTAACATCTGCACCACCCGCGGGGTGAACTCCTGCAAGCAGTGCCTGGCTGTGAGCCCCCTCTGCGCCTGGTGCTCCAAGGCGGTAAGAGCTGGGGGAGACCAAGCAGGGCTGAAAGATGTCCCCAAGCAGGACAGGGGGACATGTAGGAAGGGACAAGCCTGTGGGACGGCTGCTGGTCCCTGTGTTCCAGCCACAGGCTCCATCTCCATCTGTTCCCACCGTGTCTAAACACATTCCTCGGTGGCATCTGGCTCTGACCACAGCTTGAGACACATATTTCGGGGCTCGGGCTGCCCATTCCTGCCTGGCTCTGAAAATCTGCCTCTTATCTGGGTGGGTTGGTGAGAGCTACATCGAGCTGGCTGAGAAATGCTGATGTTTTCACTGGGAATTCCCTTTGTCTCTCAAAAAATATTCTTGGGAAAACTTAGTTTACATTTGGTTTGCTTCTCAAAAACTCATTGTAAAGCTCAGGCTAAAGGAGTTGAATTACTGGAAGGGCTGGGAAAGGAGCCTGGTGAGAAGAAGAGAAAAATACCGATTAGAAGTTGGGGTTTGTGTTTAAAAGCCTTTTTTTATTGGAAAGAAACGGGAAGGAAGACAGGGTGCCCGGTTTTGGTTACTGAGTTAATGAAAATGTGAGAACTGAGCTGTGGTTTTAAAATTACCCTGTTTGGGTGGGTAAGAGCCTGGAAGATCTGCCACGCTCACCTCCAAAAATGCTGCCCTGGGGGTTGGTTACTCCAGGCATTAATGGATGGAGTTTCCCAACACCCCAGGCAGAGGCGAGGGGAAGGGAGGCTGGAGAGGGGAGCGGTGATGAAACCTCTTCCAGGGCTTCACAGCCAGCAGCAGTTTCCCCTCTGGAAAGCTTTTCTTGCTTTCTGCTTCATCTGTTTGTACCCATGGTACCCACCAGGATTGGAAAAAGACCTGGGAAAAAGTGATCCAAGCTGGAAAACGCTGCTGGATTGTGTCTGACCCCAGTGCTTTGAGATCAGTGTGTATCTGGAGGGGATGCCTCTGCTTGCTGTGCCCATCAGATACCTCCAGGATCTCAGTGTGAATAACGATGCTTGTGCCCCATCTTATCTTCTGCAAGGAGTGGCTGAACTTCCCAGCACGATAAGGGGTCTTGTTCCTTCCCAACCACTGATTCTGGGCTGGGCTGGTGTCTTGACGCTGCAGCAGAGGTTGTGATGGGGTGGTGTTTTTTTTTTTTTTTTTTAATCCTCCACATCAGCAAAGGTTTCCAAAAAAGGAAATATTTCCAGTGCTGCTCAGGGCTGTGCTCATGGACAGACGTGACAAGCAGTGAGGGAGCCGTCCCGCTGCCAGCAAGCGGCCCCCGGAGAGCCGGGCTGTGCGAGCTCTGCTCAGCAACTCTGCCTCTGACATCTGGACCACATTGTCTTAATTTAGCAAATGAGGGATTTTTTTTTTTCTGTGGGTTTGTTTAATTTCCCTGGGGTGGGGGAGGTCTCTGATATTGCACCCCCCCCTTTTTTTAAAGGGACAGTGCCCTTATTTGCACTCCTTCTGCTCCCACTGCAGCACTTTCCCACCCACACTGCCTTCCCGAGGAGCCGGGGTTATCAGTGACTCCTGCTCCATCCTGGCTTTGGACAGGAGAAGGATTTCATCATGGTTTCTTGTTTCTTGTGATCACTGACCCCACCGAGTGCTGACGCAGAGGAGAACTGAGTTTTATTTATTTTTCGGAAACCTTGACCACTCTTAACAACAAATAGACGTGCCCATCCCCTCACTTTTATTTTTGGAAAAAGGCAGCCAGACCTCAACACTGAAACATGGCTCTAAAGTCACTTTGGAGATTATCATGATAGATCTTTTGGGGTCTCACCCTTGCTGTTTCTCTTGGAGGAAAGGTGGAAGGCAAGGCTGGCCCAGGGTTTGATTTTTAGAGAAGCTGCTGGAAGGTTTTAGCTTCATCTGCAAAAGCATCTGTGCTTTGAGTCCTCCCAGGAGCTCTCCTGCAGAGAAGCTGATGCTGCATGTGGTTGCCTACAAGATGAAAACAGAGATACCCTGGTGCTGTGTGACTTCCCACAGCCTCCCCACCCAGCAGCGAGGGAGCTGGGGGATGGAGATGGGGCAAGACCCATCCAACCTGGCCTTGAACACCTCCAGGGATGGGGCTCCCACAAAACTAGACTAGGGGCTGCGAGGGCCTTGTAGCCAAATACCCCTTTGATGGCACAGTAACTTTTTCCTTTGCCTTTTGCAATAGTTTTGTTGCTGGGGAGGCTCCTGTGGGTCCTGAGTCAATCATAACATTTAGGGCTCAAGGGGAAGGATGCAACCCTGGAGTTAAATAGTTTCTCCACAGGAATCTCACAGCAGGAATGATGCTGCTAATTCCATAAGGTGCTACATGGTCTTTGAGGTCCTGGGACCTCCCCAGAGTCTTCAGGTGTCACCCAAGAGCCCAACACCACAGTTAAAAACCTCCCTGCCCAGCCTGCTTTCCACCCGCATGTTTTTCCAGTGATTTCCCTGCCTGGAACTAGAATGTATGTGATGATTGATGGGATCTGGACTAAACCAGGCACCTCTTCCTGCAGCGGGGAGCCCCAGGGGGTGAGCCTGTTGGGTGGGTGCGTGCGAAGGAGCTAATTTAGAGGGATGACTTGTCCTTTTCACCGACAGCGTGCTGCCCAGGCAGTGAGGGTGGGAGCAGGAGGCCGCGGGGGAGGAACACGCCTGCTGATGTATTTTCTGGCTATTACTTGGCCACCGTTTCCAGAAGGCTTTGGGCCAGCCAGGGCCTCCTGACACCGTTTGCGTTTTTCTACTCATTTGCGTAAAACACACGAATTTGTTCCCTGGGTTCAGCCAGCCTGAAGGTAGGGGAGATGGTATCTCAAGTGGGGAAGCTCTGCAGTACTGGGAGGCTGCGGTGTTGGGATCCAGCTTCCCAGGAGCAGGGAGGGAGCTGAACCAGCCCCACCAGGTCTCACGCCACCTCCCTTTGCTGCAGGGAAAGGTTTTTCTGGTCATCTGTTGTAGGACTTTGATTGTAGAAAGATCTGGGCTGTGGGAGGGAGATGGAGAAACCTTTTGGAGGGGAGGATGGCTGCTGCCAGGCTGGGAACACGGGGCAGCAGATCCTGGCAGCGCTGGGCTGAGAAATAAATTCTTCCCCTGTTTGTCTTCCTGAGAAACCGAAGCGATCAGAGCCCTTCTGAATGCACCATGATAAGGGCAAGGAGCCAGAAGCTTTCTAGGAAAAAGGAGGGATGGGGCTGGAGCCCCACCATGACACCCCACTTTGTGCTTCCTGCCCCTGATGGGCACTTGACAGCTTCTCCCACAGCCCCGTTGCCTTTTTGCTCCTTCACTCCTTTTTTGGTTCTCCTTTCCTCCGGCCAGCTCCATCCGGCAGGAAGCTGGAGAGCTGGAGATAAGGCTGAAGGGCTCCTGGACAGGAACCGAGCACCACTCCATGCGCTGGGCTCACCCACAGCAGGGCTGCTCCTTGCTTGCAGCAAGATCTCTAAGGGCACGTGTCAAGAAAATGGGGAGGAAAGGTGGCTCGTCCTTTGCCAAAGTTTAGAAAATAATTAAAAAAACGTCCCAGACTCTGCCCCTCACCTCCAGCCTACCGTGCTCACATCCCACCTCACCCTCTTCTAGTCATCCTGCACAGGTGGGCTTTCCTTTCAGCTTTGCCAAAAAACAAGCCTGAAGCTCCAGCTAGGAGTCAGGAGGGGGTTTGGCAGGGATATATTATCCATTGCTCCTTTTTGGCAGGAGTTGCTGAGCTCCACTGCAGAGCACGACAGACCAAAACCTGCTCTGAACCCCAGCAAGATTAGCTGATCCCCGATCCCCTTTGTCTGCCACCTCCCTCCAGCAGGGACCACGTACCCCAAAAAGCCTCTTATTCTGGTGTCATGTTAGATGTGACAAAGCAGGGGCCCTCTCTCCTCCTCCTGGCATAACCCTGAGAGTTCCCGGGGGGAGCTGGCTCCTGACTGTGTCCTTCTCCGGCAGGTCTTTGCGCAATCGTCCCCTCGCTGTGACCTGCTCGCCAACCTCCTGCAGAATGGCTGTGAGAACAACTACATCGAGTTCCCCACCAGCAGCGTAACCATCCTGGAGAACAGACCCCTCAGTGACAAGGGCTCGGGGGGCTCCACCACCACCCAGATGAGCCCCCAGAAAATACAGCTGAATCTGCGGCCTGGTAAGAGCCCCCAGACTGATGTAAGAAGGGGACATTATAAAATGGTTTGGGTTGGAAGGGACCTTAAAGCCCATCCAGTGCCACCCCCTGCCCTGGGCAGGGACACCTCCCACCACACCAGGTTGCTCCAAGCCCCCTCCAGCCTGGCCCTGAACCCCTCCAGGGATGGGGCAGTCACAGCTTTTCTCTGGGCAACCTGGGCCAGGCTCTCACTGCCCTTACAAGGAAGACTTTCTTCCTAGTATCTCATCTAAATCTCCCTTCTTTCAGTTTAAAACTGTTCCCCCTCATCCTACGGCTCCACTCCCTCATAAAGAGTCTCTCTCCATTTCTCCTATAGGACCTCTTTAGGTACTAGAAGGGAAGATGCTGTGGGAATGACTTAAAGGGCTCGAGTGATGATTGAGCCATCACTCTGCCTCGCTGGCCAAGGCTGGCTCATGTCCATCGGGGGCAAGGTCAGACTGGGGACTGCACTGAACCCTCCAGGAACATCCCTGATGGCAGCTGGGCTGTCTGCAAGCTGATTTCTGCTGTTCAGTCTCTTGGCTCAGTCCTCTGGTATCCCAAGGGGCAGGATTGGATGTGACTTCAACAACACAGGGGCTTATTTTATAAAGCTGTTTAGATCTTAGCCGCTGCTGGGGCGCTCTGAATGCTTTGGTGGAAGGCAGCTCGTGTCTAATGAGCTGTAGAGCAGCTGGCAGGGCTGGACTGCCAACAGGTCCCTGTAATTTCCCAGGCTTGTTTCAGCCAGGCAGGCTGGAGCCAATTAACTGTCACGGTCGTTTGCCAGCATCAAGGAATTTCAAGCAATGCCAGGCGGGAGGCAAAACTAACAGGCATCGCTTACCCAAGGTCACAAAATGGATTTGGGGAATGCAGAGTGAGTGGTGCCATCACCGTGCTCTGCCCCACACGGGTGACTTATGGGTGACTCTTCCCGTCTCAGCAGGAATAATTTTGGTTCCTTGTGCTCACTAAAGCCCTGGGGCCAGATATATAGGTGGCTGAGGGCACATAGCATGCTGTGCACATCCCTGGGCCTGGCCAAGAGGAGTCCTGACCCATCTGAGTGACAACAGTCTGAAATGTCCCCACGCGATGGGGACGTGTAGCTGCTACATTACATGTCTTGTTCTATTTAGGTCTAAAAGTATTTGATAGGAGGCAGGTAGGTGTGTTCCTCTGGAGAGGAACAGAGGCAGTGTGCAGTGTCATGAGTCCCTGTTCCTTATAAGCAATAAAAGAAAACCCCAGCTTGGTATCATCTCTCCCCAGCCAAGGAAGCTTGACGTGAGTCATCTGCCTCATGAATCAAGACCAAATGCTGAAGGATATAAGAGGGACAGGTCACAGCCCGTGCCCCACACGCTCAGAGTCCTCATGGTTTTAACTCAACAAGGAGAAACAGATGCTCTCTGAGCACAAAGTTGGGACCCGGACTACATGATGGTGCTCCAGCAATGCAGCTGGAGGGGGGAAGGAGAGCTTTGGGCTCTCATAGATTTTTTTTTTTTAGACTTTGTCCATCCTCAAAGTCAGAATGTGACGTGCAGATTTAGAAGGAAATATGGAAACGATAACAATTTAAGCTCAATTAAAGCTTTTTTCCTCAGCATTTGAGGTGTTCTGAGAAAGATGCAGCTGTGCCCCAGCTTACATTTCAAGAACAGCAAGAAAGAACCTTTGTCTCTTTCAAAAGGCAGAAAGAAAAGGTCAACCCGAAGTGTTTTCAGCATTTTTTTTTTTTTTAAAGTACAAAAGTCATCGAAACTGGCCTGTTCCCCAGAAGGTTCTGTCTAAGAAGGCTTTTGTTTCAGTGGAAAAAGTTTTGCTAAGAATTTCCCAGAAGAGGCTGGGAGGAGCCAAGAGGGAGAAGGGGAAGGAACAGGGATGGGGGAGGCCCCAGAAGATGCTCAGAATTCTTGGGAGCTCAGAGAAGTCCCATGCAGCCCCAGTAATCCCTGTAAGACATGCTGCCTGGGTCTTTCACTCACTCCATCCAGCATGTGTTGGTCACACTGTTCATGTGGGACAGCTCGGGGGGTCAGCTCTGAGCAGGAGGATCTGCTCGTGTCCTGGTAATGAGAAGTTTGGAGAACAGGAGCCACATTTGCCATCTCCAAGGGGGTCACAGCATATCTCCTGTGCAAGCACCTTGCCCTAAGGGCTTTGCCCCTTTGTGTCTCTTTAATCGTTTTCCTCCCTCTAAACCATCTCCTTGAGTTCCTGCTGACCCCATAGGTTGACTTTCTCCCTAGTCCTGTGGTGACCCCCCTTTGCTCCTCCCAGGAGAGGGTCTCTCACTCTGCTGCCCTGTCACATCACAGATGACTCCCAGATCTTTCGCGTCCAAGTGCGTCAAGTAGAAGACTACCCCGTGGACATCTACTACCTGATGGACCTGTCCAACTCCATGAAGGACGATCTGAGGAACATCCAGAACCTGGGCACGAAGCTGGCCAGTCAGATGCGCAAGCTGACCAGCAACCTACGCATCGGCTTTGGGGCCTTTGTGGACAAGCCCATTTCCCCCTACATGTATATCTCTCCTCCAGAAGCCATCACGAACCCTTGCTACGAGTAAGTCCCAGGATGAGGGAGTCCTGTAAGGGCCAGAAGTTGATGGGATGTCACTGGAAAGTGGGTGGAAATATCCATACCAATGGATTTCAGCAGGGAGTGGGGTGCCTGATTTTGGGCAGGGTTTAAACCCTGCTGCACTGCATGTTCTGCTGGCACAGGGAGGAGGAGCAGGTCTGAGCTAAAAAGTATCATTGTCAGTGAAAAGCTCTTAAGGGAACAAACAATTTTGCACCATTTTTTCAAATGAGATGTTGAGGCTCAAAGGAAGTGACTTCTAAAAATCCCAGCAGGACAGAGGCTGGAAGTTGACCTGAGCCCAGCATCTCTAAAATATAATTTCTAAAAGGTCCTTCACCAACCGCTGGCTGTGTCCTCGGGTTCTTGGGGTGGTTGGGTCCCTCCAACGCATCCTGGACAGCACCATGGGAGGTGGGATGGCTGCAGGGTGCAGATGGGAGCTGAAGAGCCCTGTGAGCCTCATGCCCTGACTTCTCTCCTCCCACAGGATCGCGGAAACCTGCCTGCCCATGTTTGGCTACAAACATGTCCTGTCACTCACAGACGAGGTGACTCGCTTCAACGAGGAGGTGCGGAAGCAGAGTGTCTCACGGAACCGTGACGCGCCCGAGGGCGGCTTCGATGCCATCATCCAGGCCACCGTGTGCGATGTAAGGGGCAAGAAGGCCTGGGTGGGGCTGGGAGACGGTCATCAGGCTGGATCTGGTGGGTTGGCAGAGACCACCCAACCCCACCAGGATGGGACTGTAAACCCTGTGGAGCTGCTGCAAGGCTCAGATCTGGAGACGTTGAACATTCAACTAGGACATTTCTAGAGCAGGGCATTTACATGGTCCTGGAAGGAGAAGAGAGCAGGGCAGAAGCTTGGGAACTGATGATGATCTCAAGTCAGCCCTGCAGTAACCAGCCCAGAAAGGACATCTTCTCCTGTGCTTGCACCTTGATTTTCCTGGAAATGGGAGGTGTTGCCCTCAGTCATTAGCCACCTTAATTAACACTCTAGCAAGTTAAAATCTGTCTTTCACCTGTACAAGTAGCCCATGCCCACCTGCTGGGCTCCACAGCCCATAACCCCCTCCCAGCACTTCCCTGGGAGAGTGATCCCCCTCGGTTCCCTCAGCAGTGGTAGGTTGGTCCCTACAGCCAGGCCATGGCCCGAGGTGGCAGCAGAGGCAGCAGTGAGGTGCTGGCACATGGGGCTGTCCTTGGCACATGCTGTCGTGTGACACGGAACCACCTTTCACTGCAGAAGATAATCGGCTGGAGGAATGATGCTTCCCACCTCCTTGTCTTCACCACGGATGCCAAGACCCACATCGCGCTGGATGGCAGGCTGGCCGGCATCGTGCAGCCCAACGATGCTCAGTGCCACATCGACAAGGATAATTTCTACTCTGCCTCCACCACACTGGTAAACCCTGACCCACACATGGGGCTGGGGAGCCCAGAGGTCCTGTTGTGAGGGGCCTCCAAGGGTGGGAAACGTGCTCGAGGCCTGGTTGGAGAGCATGATCAGTACTAGGGTGGTTGGGGGTACATGATCCTAGGGTATAGCCTCTCCTCTTCCCCAGGACTATCCCTCTCTGGGTCTGATGACTGAGAAACTCTCACAGAAGAACATCAACTTGATCTTTGCTGTGACGGATACGGTTGTTGGCCTCTACCAGGTAACAGCTGTTGTGCAAAGCTGTCTTCTTGGGGGGCTGGTGGGTCCCAAGGAACACCCTTTGCAGGTGGCCACCCATGGTGGCCAGACACAGCTTGGTGGTCTGCAGTCCTATCAAAGCTCCTTGGGAAGCTCCCTTGTGCCTGGACAGGGTTTGGCCCAGCCATGGCACATTCACCCGTCCCAGGCAGATCATTTTTATGATATTTCTCCAGAATTACAGTGAGCTGATCCCAGGCACAACAGTGGGCACCTTATCCAGAGACTCCAGCAACGTCCTGCAGCTCATAGTGGACTCCTATGGGGTGAGTGTGGAATGTGGTTGGCCCCACAGCTCCGTCCCTCCCAAAATAGCCACTGCTTCACCCTGCAAGCAGCCCACACAGATTTGGCAGCTCCCCCAGCCCCGAGCATCCTCCCTGGACCAGCTGTGAGCATCTGCCTCCACTCACGCGTGCGGGGACCCCGGGGAAGGGAGATCACTGTGTTCACCGCCTGCTCCTTCCCATCCTGGAAGGCGTTTCCCTGTGGGGAATGACGTAGCTGAGCCTTGAAAAAGACTCGAGGCCCTTGGCTTCTTTCCCGTGTGTGTGGGAGCATCGCTGTGGGGCCTGGGGGGACCCCTCCCTGGTGCTGAGCCCTGCCCAGCCCGTGCCGTCATCTTCATCGCTCCTCTCTCCTCCCCTAGAAAATCCGCTCCAAGGTGGAGCTGGAGGTGCGTGACCTCCCTGAAGAGCTGTCCCTGGCCTTCAACGCCACCTGCCTCAACGACGAGGTCATCCCCGGCCTCAAGTCTTGCATGGGGCTCAAGATCGGGGACACGGTGAGGATCCTCTTCATGAGCTTGGTTATTTCTCCCCCTCTGTGTAGCAGCGCTGCCAGCTCGTCTGATGCCCTCCATCAGATCATTTGCTGGCCCCTACCACCTCCCGGGTGACACAGACCCTGTGTCACCACCTTTGCAGTGGAGGGAGGGGTCCAGCTGGGTGGGTGCAAGGAGGAAAATGCTTTTTTGAGTCTGCTGGATGCAAACTCTGTGGTGCTGTAGCTCAGTCCAGGCTGCTGGCCCATAGCACATGGGATTTAGCCTGGTTACTGCGGCAGGCAGGTCTCCTGACCAGGCTGGGACAGCTTTGAAGAGCCCAAAGAGATGTGATGCGTCCCATTTCTGGGCTCCTTAAGGTTGGCCATGGGCTGGAGTGGGTTCCTCAATATCATGCTGTTGGTACCGACACCCCAACGCACCCCTCTGTCCTCCAGGTCAGCTTCAGCATCGAGGCCAAGGTACGGGGGTGCCCCCGGGAGCGACAGAAATCCTTCACCATCAAACCGGTGGGCTTCAAGGACAGCCTGACGGTGGTGGTCAACTTCAACTGCGACTGCTCCTGCGAGAGCCAAGCGGAGGCCAACAGCTCGTCCTGCAGCCGGGGCAACGGGACGCTGGAGTGCGGCGTGTGCCGCTGCAACCCCGGGCGCCTGGGCTCGCACTGCGAGTGCTCGGAGCAGGAGTACAACCCCTCGCAGCAGGACAACTGCAGCCCCCGCCGCGACCAGCCCCTCTGCAGCCAGCGTGGGGAGTGCATCTGCGGGCAGTGCGTCTGCCACAGCAGCGACTTCGGGAAGGTGACGGGCAAGTACTGCGAGTGCGACGACTTCTCCTGCGTCCGCTTCAAGGGCCAGATGTGCTCGGGTGAGTTGCCAGGGAGTTCACCTTGGCCAACCTCGTGGGCAAAGAGACATGCTGACAAGTATCTCAAGGGAGGGTTGAAGGAGAAGGGAGCCAGACTCTTCTCGGTGGTTTCCAGTGAGAGGATGAGGGGCAACGGGCACAAGTTGGAACGTAGGAGGTTCCACTCAAATGTGAGGAAAAACTTCTTCATAGTGAGAGAGCTGGGACTCTTTAGCCTGGAGAAGAGAAGGCTGAGGAGAGACCTTATTAATGCTTCCAAGGATCTCAAGGGTGGGTTGAAGGAGGATGGAGCCGGACTCTTCTCAGTGGTTCCCAGGGACAGGATGAGGGGCAACGGGCACAAGCTGGACCATGGGAAGTTCCACTCAAATCTGAGGAAGAACTTCTTTGGGGTGAGGGTGGCAGAGCCCTGGAAGAGGCTGCCCAGGGAGGGTGTGGAGTCCCCTTCTTTGGAGATTTTCAAGACCCACCTGGATGCTCCTGAGTAACATGCTCTGACAAGCTCTAGGCAATCCTGCTTCAGCAGGGGAGTTGGACTAGCTGATCTCTATGGTCCCTTCCAACTCTAAAAATTCAGTGAAATTCAGTGAAATTTCGGGGCATGTCCCACGCATTGTCCCCACTGCCTCACTCAGCCACGGCTCTCCCTGGACCATCCATAGATCTGAAGCGATGCCGGGGGAACTATTCCCTTTTTGGCAGCTCGTATCACCTCCTGTGGCCAAGAGCCGTGGCAGGGTGATGAGCTCTGAGGGTTAAAAAGAGACCTTAGTCCCTGCTTAGACTCAGGAGTCCCATGAGGGTGTCCAGTGGTCAGCTGAGGGAGCAGCTCTGGGACGTGCAGGGCAGAGACCAGCCAGACCCTGTTCAAATCGCAGCCTCCAACACATCAGAGGTCTTGCTCTGTGGGAGGAACCCCCAGGGTGGAGGGAGAGGGGTGGGGAGAGGCAATTTTTATCCTCTGCCCAGTTCTTGAAGGCTCCCCGTCGTCAAAAGCAATTGGGGAAGCAAATCCTCCCACTTCAGTGGTCTTATGGCATCAGCCCTCCTGAATATTCATCTCTTCCATGTGCTACCAGCCTCCCTGCTCCAGCCCCGGCTGCTGCTGCTCCTCTCTGGGGAGAGAGGACCAGCTCCTTGGGTCCTCCTCCACACCAGGGACCGGGGAAGGAGCCCCTCTCTCTAAAACATCCATCCCAAGAGTGGTTTCTCATGTCCTGGTGTGCCAGGGCCTTCCCCATATAGGGTTTATCCCACCCCACTGCCTCCAGTAAGCACTGGAACCCAGGCGAGGTGGCTGCTAACACAGTGCCCCAAAAAACCCATCACCTTCATGCTTCAAGGCAAAAAATCCTCAGGAAAGTGTCAGTGGCCAAAGCTGAGCCCGCTCTGCTGGAGTCCAGCGTGGGTGAGGTGAAACCTACTGGCCAGGTAACACTTGGTTCCTGCTCCCCACTGTCCCCAAATTGTTTTTGGGACCCTGCCTGCCCCCAAATTGTTTTTGGGACCCCACCTGCCCCCCAGCCCAACTCCATGGCTCACGGCTGCAGGGATTGATCCCTTATCTTAATAACCTGCTGATAACAGAGGTGGAAACCGGGAGTTTCCCCCCCAAACACCCGGAACGCTCAGTGTCCCCGGGGAGCCGGATGCCTGTCCCTGCTCCCTCAGCCTGTTTGCTCAAGGGCTGCCAGGTTTGAAGGGCGATGACGAAGCGCTGCCCCCAGCCTGGGCAGGCTGTTAATTAACCCGATCCGTCTAACCCTGTTGGCATCCATCCCATCCCGTCCCTTTCGAGCCACTTCTCCCCAGCGTTCCCCGTCTGTTTCCGTGCCTTGTCACCCAGCGCGGCGCTATTTTCCTGTGACTCAGCCCTAGTTCCTCATTAACGGGGTTACACATTCATTTCTCACGCCGGTGTCCCCGAGGCCGTGGCGGGGGATGGTGCCCTGATCCCTGGCCGGGAGCAGCGTTCCTGACGTGGCCCGTTGCGCTCGGGGGCTCGGGACGGGTCGGCGCGTGCCGGCTCCACGGCGTTTCCACCGCTCACCCTGCCTTGTCTTTGAGCTGAAATCAAACCACAATCCAAACAGCTCCAGGCTTTGGCAGGGTTTGAGCACGTCTGTCTGATTTAACCAGTCTCGGGTGAGAGCGCTGAGCTTGTCCGGCTTTTCCCAGCAGTCGGCTCCCCCTGCCTGGTCTAAGGCTGGAAAATGAGTGGGATTTGGGGGCTTTCAGCAGATGTCTGGACTCAACCTGAAATTAAAAGGCAAAGGTTGAGCAGCTCGGAGGTGGATCTGACTGAGAATCTCCAGCTGCTGCCAGCCTGCCAGAGCTGGGGTGGCTCAACCTGAATTTTTTCTTCTTGTTTGGGTGGAATAAGAGTTTTGGGGACGTGGTTGTCCACAAAGGTTGTCAAAGGCTGAGGTTTGATGTGAGCTGCTGTGTGTCCCACCCCAAGGATGCTGGAAAGGGGTTGTCCTGGGTGGTTGGTCCTGCCTTGCCATACCCTCAGAGGTGGAGCTGCCACTCTGGGTACATGGATATCCCTGATGGGTGATGGTGAAGGGGATCTATGGGGACACTTTGAGGGTCTTGATGCCCTCTGGGTTGTCCCCAGGCCACGGGAAGTGCAGCTGCGGGGACTGTCTGTGCGACTCGGACTGGACGGGTGACTACTGCAACTGCACCACGCGCACCGACACGTGCATGTCCAGCAACGGGCTGGTCTGCAGCGGCCACGGCTCCTGCGTCTGCGGCAAGTGCGACTGCACCCAGCCCGGCTCCTACGGAGACACCTGCGAGAAGTGCCCCACGTGCCCGGACGCCTGCACCATCAAAAAGTGAGAGAGGGCAGAGAGGTGGGACGGGCTGTACCCCCTCCTGGAGTTGGCAGTGGTGCCAGCGGGAGCTCTTACCGGCCACAGCCCGGTTGGGTTGGGATTGCAGCGATTTCTGCAGCATGAGACCAAAAAGTGTGACCGTTTTCCACGGGGAGAGAGCGTGGAGGAGCTCATGGTACCTCCCTCCTCTTCCTCAGGGAGTGCGTGGAGTGCAAGAAGTTTGAGCGGGGGGCACTGGTGGAGCAGCAGACCTGCAGCCGCATGTGCCGCGACGAGATCGAGACGGTGCAGGAGCTGAGTAAGACCCAAACCCCTGCCCTAAAGCGTGGCAATCCGGGGGGTCACATACACCCTCTGCTTTCCCTCCGGGTGGGCATCCCCCGACACGGGGGGGCTCTGAGCCTCTCGCTCTGGCAGCTGACAGGGGCAAGGACGCCGTGAACTGCACCTACAAGGACGAGGACGACTGCGTGGTGCGGTTCCAGTACTACGAGGACTCCAGTGGCAAGTCCATCCTCTACGTCATCGAGGAGCCTGGTAAGATCCTGCCACCACGGTCAGGCTGGAGGGGGTGCAGAGCGTACCTCGCTGGGTTTCTGTGCCAAATGGGAGGATTTTTTGAGTCCCCTTTGTACCTCCCACCCCACCTTAGGCTTACAGGGCACCACGGTTGGGGGCTGAGAGGGGTTAAAGAGCTGCTTTGTTCCCTGCTCTGTCACGGGGCTGAGATTTCCTGCCTCTGTCTCACGTTTCCACACTGCGCTGCTTGGTTATTTCACCCCCCCATTGAGGCCAAGGATGGGGGCTCAACATTCCCACTCCCCTGACCCTGTTTCTGATTCCATGGGTGTGATATTTTTTTTTTGAGATGCTGTTAAGAGCCAGCTCCCACTGGCCTGATGGGAGAGATGCTGAGCTATGTCAGCCCCCCACCATGCAGAGCAGCTCTGGGGTCTCCAGTGACCTTGAGGTCTGATTTCCAGCCGAGCTGGGGACTATGTGGCCGCAGATCTTTTGAAAGCTGTCACAAAGGCAGCTGCCAGCCATCAGCAGGGTGGCAGCCCACCATCCCTGGCCCCCGAGGGCCGTGGGGGCTGTAGAGCCCCAGGCAGCGTTGGGGGAAGGTGTGTGGTTACTGGGGGTTCACACCGGATCTCGCCACCCCCGTTTGTGGGTGCAGCATTGACGCACAGCCCGAGAGCGGGGGCGGTGCTGGGGTGTCAGCTGGGCTGCTGGTTTGGGGATGAACTTCCACCAGCCCGAGGACTTGATCTCCAGTGTCATCCCTCACTGTGGGTGGGACCTGTGATGCCCCTAACCTGGGCTGCTCCAAACCAGGGTGCAGACCCCCACCCTGTAGGGAGGAGCTTTAGGATCTTTGCACATGCACTTCATGCATGGGATCCTCCTTTTTAGACCCTGCTGAGCTCAAGGGCTCCTGCTCTTAACAGGGGAGGATGAAGCCCTCCTGAGTCCAGAGGAACTCCATGTACCCATGGCCAGGCAGCCCCAGAGCCACTTTTAATCACCCTGGGGGTGCTGAGCCTCCCCTAACCCAGCCCTCTTCCCTCTGCCAGACTGCCCGAAGGGGCCAGACGTCCTGGTGGTCCTGCTCTCGGTGACGGGTGCCATCCTGCTCATCGGCCTGGCTGCCCTGCTCATCTGGAAGCTCCTCATCACCATCCATGACCGCCGAGAGTTTGCCCGCTTCGAGGAGGAGAAGGCCAGGGCCAAGTGGGACACGGTGAGGGCCAGTGGGTTGGATGGACCAGGCAGGAGTCCCTGAAGACCACAGCCCCTGGGTTGAGTGGATCCAGATCCCAGTGTTCCCAGCACAAGAGTCCAGTTGCTCTCTGTGGTCGTGGGCCATGGACCTTAGAGACCTGCTTGCCCCATTCCTCTCTGAAGAATGGCACATTGTCACAAGGAGGACTTGGGGTGACATCCCTTCCCTGAGTCCACTGCGGTCCTAGGGGCTGCGCACAGGCGATAACAAACGTCCCAGATGCTTTTCCCAACTCCAGCATGTCCCAAGCACTTCTCACCAGCGTGACACTCTTACTCACTGCCCACACCAGTGTTTCCATCCCATGAGCAAGACGGAAGGTCCCTCCTGCCACGGGATGCTGGAAGGGCTGAGGCACCTGGAGCACGAGGGAAGGGGCTGGGACACCACCAGCCCCTGTCCCCCACCTCCCCAGAGGGAAGGGATGGGGTGCAGTGGCTCTTTTAGGAGGCCTCTTTGCTCCTGAGCTCCTGCTGCCACCTTTCCTGTCCTCCACAGCAGCTTCTCCCTGCTCTCCTCCATGAAACCTCATGGGGAGCCTTTAAACTGTGCAGCCAAAGCCTTGAGCAGGATCCACCACTCAATGCTGAAATGGTGCCTCAGTTTCCCCAGCTGTAAAGTAGAGTGAACGCTGAAACCAAGCACAAAGTGACCTTATTAATGCTGACAAGTATCTCAAGGGTGGGTTGAAGGAGGAGGGAGCCAGACTCTTCTCAGTGGTTTCCAGTGAGAGGACGAGGGGCAACGGGCACAAGTTGGAACAGAAGAGGTTCCACTCAAATATGAGGAAAAACTTCTTCACGGTGAGGGTGACAGAGCCCTGGAACAGGCTGCCCAGGGAGGGTGTGGAGTCCCCTTCTCTGGAGATCTTCAAGCCCCACCTGGATGATCCTGAGTAACATGCTCTGACAAGCTCTAGGCAATCCTGCTTCAGCAGGGGAATTGGACTAGATGATCTCTATGGTCCCTTCCAACTCTAAAAAAATCAGTGAAATTCAGTGACGATGCTCTTTTTCCTCCTCCTTCCAGGGCAACAACCCTTTATACAAAGAAGCCACGTCTACCTTCACCAACATCACGTACCGCGGGAACAACTAAGGACGCCGCATCCAGCGCTGGTGGTGGGACCAGCCGAAGATCTGCGGGATCTCCTGGAGTCCGGTTTACAGAAGAGCTTGTGTGTGTGTCTTGAGTGTGTGAGAGCGTGTCTGCGTGTAATTTAACAATCCCTCCGAGGCCCTCTTGTCCGTCACCCCACTGTAACTGCAGGGACGTGCTTTCCACAGCAAACCTCTCGTCCTTACCTCGGCGGGTCGCCTCGCAGGAGCCGGCGGCCCCTCCATACACTGAAGGTGGAGAAACGGGACTATCTCTGCCTGGAGAGTCTGTGAACTGTTAGGTGCTCATCGGGCCAAGGGGATTTCGGGAGCAGCTGCTCCAACCAAAGGCTGTGCTTTCCTCCCTGGCCCGTGCTGGTGAAGCTCTGCCCGCTCGGAGAGTCCCCTCGTGCACTGGACAGACACGGTCCCCCCGGGTGCAGGAGCCATCTCCGGGGGGGACACGGGGCAGCTACGCTCACTGCCAGCCCGCAGGAGCCATCCCATGGCTTTGGGGGTTGAGGCTTCCACTCAAGCAACCCCCTTGCTTCTTGTAGCCACGTCTTTCTGTCACTGCACTGGCCTGGGGCAGTGAAAAGCAAACGCCCTGGCCTCCCTGTTGCCCTTCCTCCTTCCCTCCACCTGCAATTTGCACCACTGGCCAACTCTACGTAGCATCAGCTGTGCTGGTCCCAGCTGCAGCCTGGCTCAGCTCCGGGGATGGTGCTGAGCTCCTGATGTCCCCCTCCACCATGGCTATTGCCACAAAGCACACGGATGCGGGGGCAGCAGCCTGGGGAGGGTCGTGATGCTCGTTATCCCTCGCGCCTGGCCATCTATCTCCCTTCCCTGTGCTTTTCGGGGCTGCGTAACCGCACCACGCTCTATTTTCTGTGTAGCTCAGGGTTCCAGAAGAGCAGGCAGGGTTCAGGCCACATCCTGCTGCCTGTGGTTTGGGTGGCTCTTGTGGGAAAACAAAAAAAAATTGTCCCAGTAGCAGAGTTTGGCTGTAACGGTGCTGCTGCCCAGTCTGTGACCCAGCTAGAGCACGGTGGCTCTATTCCCCTCAATCACACCAAAAAAACAACAGAGACCTTGTGCCAGGCGTGATGCTGGCCCCGGGGGTCCCAGCAGTGTGTGGGCTGGGCTGGTGGTGGCCATGTGTCCCTCTTCCCTGGCTGGCCTGTCCCCAGCAGCCTGGGGATGGCAGCGGGGCCGATGCTGGGGTGGGAGCTGGGGCTGAGCCCCGGGGTGGGAGGTGGATGGGCAGCAGCAGAGCGGCAGCAGTTCTCACCACGAAAATAAAAATAAAGAAATTTTGAACTACTAGCAGTGTTGGTGCCCACGCCAGCGGTCTGTGCCCAGGCTTCCTGCCCTGTGGGCAGCCCCTGTCACCCCAGTGTGACTTGGGGAGATGGGCTGGGCTGGGTTGAGGGATGGTGGCCCCCCATGGGAGGGGGTCTCTGCTTTGTTACTGGTGTCCTCCTGGGGACACAGGGTGGGCCAGAGCCTGTGAACTGAGCTGTGGTACTCCTGCCAGTCCCCCCATCCTGTCCCACAGGTCCCTGCAAGCCCAACAGTCTGCTGGAGAAGCCCTCAGACGGGGGTAGCTGGGCTGGGACAGTTGCCTAGGGACCATCCCAGGGGCTGCGGGGGCCTGTGCTGGGGGTGAAGGTGCTAAACCCTGGAGCAGGGTCGCACCGGTGGCCCCAGCTCGGAGCACTTTGGGACCACAGAAAAAAAATTGTCCGGAAAAATTGTTTACCCGTCTCCTCGACACCCCCACGCACCCCCTGGGCCCATGCAGTGGGTCCAAGCACCTGGGGCAGCACTCAGCACCCCCATTTGCACCAGGTGGGGGGCTCTGGGTGGGTGTCAGCAGTACCCAAAAGAGCTGCAAGCCCAACAGTCTGCTGGAGAAGTCCTCAGAGGAGGGGAGCTGGGCTGGGACAGTTGCCCAGGGACCATCCCAGGGGCAGCAGGGGCCTGGGCTGGGGGTGAAGGTGCTAAACCCTGGAGCAGGGTCCCACCGGTGGCCCCAGCTTGGAGCACCCAGCCCATGGACTCACTCAGCGCCACATCACACGGGGCTGCAGGGACACCCAGCGGCCACCCTTCCAAGGAGCACTTTGGGACCACAGAAGGCGCCGGAAAAATTGTTTACTCATCTCCCTGACACCCCCACACGGCCACCCTTCCAAGGAGCACTTTGGGACCACAGAAGGCGCCGGAAAAATTGTTTAATCATCTCCCTGACACCCCCACGCACCCCCTGGGCCCACGCAGTGGGTCCAAGCACCCGGGGCAGCACTCAGCACCCCCCCATTTGCACCAGGTGGGGGGCTCTGGGTGGGTGTCAGCAGTACCCAAAAGAGCTGCAAGCCCAACAGTCTGCTGGAGAAGTCCTCAGAGGAGGGGAGCTGGGCTGGGACAGTTGCCCAGGGACCATCCCAGGGGCAGCAGGGGCCTGGGCTGGGGGTGAAGGTGCTAAACCCTGGAGCAGGGTCCCACCGGTGGCCCCAGCTTGGAGCACCCAGCCCATGGACTCACTCAGCGCCACATCACACGGGGCTGCAGGGACACCCAGCGGCCACCCTTCCAAGGAGCACTTTGGGACCACAGAAGGCGCCGGAAAAATTGTTTACTCATCTCCCTGACACCCCCACACACCCCCTGGGCCCATGCAGTGGGGTCCAGGCACCCGGGGCAGCACTCAGCACCCCTATTCGCACCAGGCGGGGGCTCTGGGTGGGTGTCAGCAGCACCCAAAAGAGCTCTGGGGTGGGGTCGTGATGGGCTCAGCTGAGTTTGGCTCCAGAAGGAGCATTTCAGCTGGAGGGCTGGTGGTGGAGAAGGCAAAGAGGTGCCCAAGGCAGAGCCTGGATGCCCCACGAAGGAGCAGGATGAGACCCCGTCCCCATGCTGGCTGGGGCTGCTCCAGCCCAGAGTGAGCTGGGGAGGGAGTTTTGGGGTACAGGGGGTCTGGCTGAGCCCTCTGTGCTTGCCTTAAAGCAGCCATCAGTTGGGGCCTCCACTCCAGGATGCTACAGAGCTCATGGTGCCACGGGGGCACCTGCTGAGCCCAGGAGGGTCCTTCCCACAGGACACATCCAGCACGGCGCAGAGCCCAGCAAGCAGCAGCCGGAGAGGTGGAGGCACGTTTGTACTCAAGCCCTGGATGTTGTCCCCTTCCCTGTGCCACCCTGTGCCTCAGAGACCCTGCTGGACCCCGTTGGACCCTGTTCCAGCTCGACACTTGCTGGCAGTGGGAGCTGAGCCCAAAGAACGCGACCGGTGCCACCAGGTGCTCTGTGACATCAGGCAGAACAGGGACGGGGGGTGACACCAGGCAGCGAGCCTGGAGGCTGCCCCACACCCTCTGGGTGCCCCCAAGGCCACCAGGGTGGTCACCCAGGGGGTGAATCGGCTGCAGCATCCCTGGAGTGGGGTGGGGGGGATGTGGGGTGCCACGGGTGGGGGCTGCTCTGCAGGACACTCTTGGTAGGCAGCCGCTGGCACTGAAGTCACCTCCTGCCCCACCACGGACACAGAGTCCCAGGTCACATCCTTCCCAGCTGTGCCCTTGGCCGCAGCCCTTCTGGGTATCCGTGGGTCTCCACGGGTGCCCCCGTTGACAGCAGGGCTGGGACGAGGAGGGGATGGAGAACTGGAAGCCACCAGAATCCTCTAGCCCCGCAACCACCGAGGCCCAGCAGCAGCCACCATGCTCTGGCTCCACAAAGAGCCAGGACACATCTGCCTCCTCCCACGCTCCGTTGGCCTGCAGGAAGGTGTCCTCGTCCAGCAGGACCTCCATGTCCAGTAGGTCCTCTACATCCAGCGGGAGCACCAAGTGCAGCCAGAAGTCCACATCCAGGAAGACCTACAAGTAAGGGGTTGCCTCCCTGGATGGCGGGAGCCCATGTTTGTCCGTGGTTTGGTCTTCTCATGTTCTCCTCTCATCCTCAATGCAGAAAAGCTGCAGGAGAGGAAGAGGCGTGTGATGAAGGACAGTGCCAACATTACAGGAGCGCTGCCTCATGGTGCATGGTACTGATGGCCAAGACATATCCACCCAGGCATGTGGTGTGCAGGAAGGACGTGCCAAAGGCAGATAAAGCATCACAGGTGAGGGTGGGCAGTGCTGGATCCCCCAGCACCCATTCACATGATTTCTTTTGGAAGCGTGCCCATCACCCACACACACAACCCTCATCCTCAGGGATGCAGCTGGGTCATGCCAGGGGCTGCATGTCCATACAACCTCTCAGGGAGTACAGGATTTGGCCTGGAGATGGATTTGGTTGCTGCTGAGCACCCTGCTGCGGCCAGCCTGGGGTAGACTCCTGCACAGGAGCTGGGGACCCTCCAGAGATGGAGGATTGGACCCTCCCAGAGCCCCCCAGATACGAGCTGTTGAGTCTCTCCCATTCCCCTCCCTGGGATCAGCCCATGCTCAGACAGTGTTTGATGGTGTGGGGGTCCCGGCCCCAGACCCCCTGCTCCTTCAAGATGTTACAGAAGGAATGGCAGCCATCGGGCAAGAAGAAGAAGAAGAAGAGGAAGAAGAAAAATAATTCCACGAGCAATGGCCAGGACCAGCCACAGCAGCGAACCTCAAGGGCCAGCAGCGCCATGGAGAGCTGCTCCCAAGCATTGCCACACAGAGCCCCCAGCCCCCCCGAGGTGGCTGTCACACTCCAGAAGAGGTAACAGAGGGACTGTCTGGGGTTGAGCCAGTCCCACCCCAGGTGTCTCCCCCCAGGGTGATTTGGGCCCCCACGGCAGAGGGACCGGTGCTGGGCAGGGTCTTCTCACCTGTGTCCATCTGCTCCCTCAGTAGGACGAGCTTGTTCAGCCTGTGCATGGCCATGTACGATGAGGAGGGAGAAGAGCAGGATGAGGCTGGTCTGGAGCCAGAAGGTAAACCTGCTCCTTCCCATCCAGTGTTTGCTCCATCGTGCTCTTCCGAAATGCTCTGTCCCACCTCCATGGCTCCAGCGCTCCAGAAACCAGAGTGGTGCCACGTCTGCGATTCGGGCAGATCTCCATTTCCCACTGAGCCGTGGGGTGAGACAAGACCCCTCTTTAGCTGAGTTCACTGTCCCCTGGTGCCAGCGGGCATGGCTGCTTGCAGGGTCAGGCCCATGGCCGTGAGGACCAGCTACTGGGAGTCTGGAGTGACTTCTGTCCCCCAAAAAATCAGGGCTGTGTCGCTGTGCTGGCTGATGCAAAGGAGTGTGAGCGGCCAGAGGTACCTCCTGGGGCAGGAGACAGTGGTGACAGTTGCTCCCAGCTCCTTGGGAGAAGCCATTTGTGAGTGGTGGTAACTCCAACCCTGCTGAACCTGCAAATTTTGGGCCGCGTTGAGGCTGTTGGTGTTAGGGACCACTAGATGGTGATGTCTGTACGTGCTCGGGCAGACACTTTCCACCTTCCTGGGTTGCTTTCTGACCACCTCCCACTGAGGACAGGGATGGATGCCCAGGATGATTTCCCCCATGGGGGTTTCCAGAGAGTGGGGACACCCCACAACCCATCCCACAGACACAGCTCCTGCAGCAACACCTCGGGACAGGGTTCTTTTTAGTGCTACTTTTATTCCCGAAAGCGCTGAAGGGCTCCCTCTTCTTGGAGTCCATTAATACCTCAACTCCTTTGGTAAACTGATGTCTGTTGATAAATCCCAGAATGAGCAAAGCCCTTCCTGATGCAGCTGGGAGATGATTTAAGGTCTGTTCTGCCCCATTCGCAACCCAGAACTGTGTTTTCCAGGTCTCTAGGAAATTTTCTGAAATGAAACACGTTTCCCCATTGATTCTAGGGAAGCAGGTCAACGTTGGAGAGATGGAGTTTCACCTACCCCCAGAGGAAATCCACTTACCAGAGCAGAATTACCAGGAGGTGCTGGAGGACTTGGCTGTGGATGGTGAGTATATCGGCACTTTGAGATTGTTCAGGATCTGGAGCGTGTTCTGGGCAAAAAGCTTAAGACTTAGGGAAGAAGAGGAGAAAGCTGGAATCAAAAAAAAGCCAAGATGCTGACATTTCCCAGGGCACAGAGTCACAGAATAATTCAGGTTGCAAGAGAGCTCAGGAGGTCTCTGGTCCAACTTCTTGCTAAAGGCTGGGTCAGCGGAGAGATCAGGCTGGATTGCTCTGGAATTTATGTCTTAGAGGATCTCCAGGGCAGTAAAGGAGCCAGGGTTAGCCTGGGATGAGAGCGCTGCACTCTCTGGAAAACCTGGACCTCCAGCCTACATCTGGCCAAAAAGGCCCTGGTTTGGGAAGCAGTTTTGGGGTGAGATTCTCTAAAATTACCAAATCCTTCGTGGATATGAGAGTTCTCAGTGTTGCAAACTGCCCTTCTGGTGAGACACGTAAAGCTGGAGCCAAAAGTCTCCCTGCAAGCTCTCGGCTGTATTTTTGGGGGGTTCTCCTTCCTCAAACATATTTCCCCATCGACTGAACTCCATCTTCCCCCATATCCCAGAGGACGTGGTCGACATCCCAGACCCAGACTTTAATGTGGGCACCATGGAGGTCCCCTTACCCAGCGAGGAGCTGCAGGAAGCCCCAGGACACACCAGAGGTGGGGACTGACATTTCCCTCCTTTCCCTCTCCTCCTACGTGTCCCCTCCAGCTGATGACCCAGTGACAGGGACAGGATGCTGGCTCCCTGCAGGTCACGTTTGGCTCATGGCTGGGGTGGGACATGCCGTGCGCTCAGCAGAGGTGACATTCTCTCTGTTTCTCCCTTCCCTTTCATCTTGGGTTGAATTTTTGGCACGGGGAGTTGGGGGCAGGGAGGGGGGGCATGGTGTGAACTCTGTGTCTCGGCAAGAAACAAATGCCATCCCTCAGCGCATCAAAGGAGAAGGGGGCTGCACCTAGAGCCTGTTACACGTGGTGCAGCGTGTGGAGGGGAGGTGATGGGTGATGAATGAAGGCCGTGGAAAGGGTTTCCCTCTCCTCCTACGTGTCCCCTCCAGCTGATGACCCAGTGACAGGGACAGGATGCTGGCTCCCTGCAGGTCACGTTTGGCTCATGGCTGGGGTGGGACATGCCGTGCGCTCAGCAGAGGTGACATTCTCTCTGTTTCTCCCTTCCCTTTCATCTTGGGTTGAATTTTTGGCACGGGGAGTTGGGGGCAGGGAGGGGGGGCATGGTGTGAACTCTGTGTCTCGGCAAGAAACAAATGCCATCCCTCAGCGCATCAAAGGAGAAGGGGGCTGCACCTAGAGCCTGTTACACGTGGTGCAGTGTGTGGAGGGGAGGTGATGGGTGATGAATGAAGGCCGTGGAAAGGGAATTTAATCTTTCTTGGCCTCAGCATCCCCATCCCACCCTGCCTGGGGGGGAGGGAGTTTCATTGCATTGTTGTGGCTACAGCCCTTTAGATCCTGAGATGGAAAGAGTAGGTGAAAGGCAAAGGAGATGTTATTATTATTATTACTAATAACCTTTTTTTGCCAAGTCTCTCTGTGCTGGCTGCCAGCATGCAGAGGTTTCCAACACTTTCTCCTTACAGAGGACACAGCCTCTGTGGATAGTCTGTGCTCTTACCTGGCCACGCTGGAGACCTGCTTGATCCCGGAGCTGCAGGATGATCTTGCCATGGATGGTATCACTCTGGCTGCCCTTTCCCTGTCATTGCCAAGGCCTGAAATCTCCCTGGAGAGCCAGTCCCTGCAGCTGGCGAGGTGCCCTGCTCCATTCAAACTTTCCCTTGGCTCTATCATAGGGTACAAAGAAGACACCCAGGACCTTGACTCCATCCCGGGCTCTGTGGTTAGAGAGGTCAACTTCGCCAGCAAGGAGAATCTGGAAGCCTTAAGAGACATGGAAGGTAAAGGAAGGTATCTGAGGTCTTCTGAGGAAGCCTAGGAAGCTCTGGAAACCAACAGATTAGTTAAAAACCTTCATGGAGTTAATCCATGAAGGTGCTGAGGATCTCCACCACCCAAGCTGCTGCTAGTTGACAGCAAATGGGATTAGATAGAAGTCCTTCAGCAGAAAACTCCAGGGCCACCTATCTTAATGAACTGCAAATCTGGGGGTAGTGAAGCTGCGCAGGGAGAGCCAGAGACACGCCACCAGCAGCAGAAGGTTTCCAAAACTTCACTGCAGGGCTTTACTACAGCCACGTGCAGACTCACCGAAGCCAGACAGGGAACACAAATTCCCATATTCACTGGCCTTCCTTAACACCTGCAACTACACGTGGCAGTCACAGCACTTGGGTTGTGCAGCCAAGCCCCCAAGTACAGCACACCAAGAGAAACGGTGTTAAACTCTGACTTCTCCTCAAGGATTCAAACACACCGTCCCCAATCCAGCCTTCCAACTGAACATGTTTCCCACCAGACACACTAATATTGCTCAGGGCCGTCAGAGATTAACACATCAAAGCTGAAGCTGCTGGAAAAATCCAAGCACGACGCTGCTCTCGGCATGCTCCTCTGCTCCGTGTTGCAACTCCAGAGCCACGAGGGTGGGAAGCCACAGATGCAGGATGGGCTGCTTGAGACTGACAGAGATTTACTTGACACCCTTTGGTTTTATTCCCCTCCTTGTTTCAAGGCCCAATTTGTTCACAAGCCACGTCATCTCGCTCTGCTTTCTCCTTGTTGCAGCGACGGCAGGGTTTTTCACTCCCTGCATGCAGGAGAGAGTATTTTCACTAATTTTCTGAAAAGACTTTAAATCCTTGGGAGGATAGAGCTGGAGAAAGGGAAAATAAATTGGTTATATAAAAATAAGAGCAGTGTTGGTAATCTCCCTCTGTGTCCTGGCTGGGCATAGAAGGCAGTAGCACCTTGCTGACGTGTTTAGGATGGTACTTACTTAAAACACCCACGTTTAGAAGGAAAACAATACCCAGAGGGGCTTTTTTATTTTCACAGAGGACAAAATCAGTGTCAGCAGTGAGGGCTCTACCCTGGCCACCCCACGGATCCATTCAAACCTGGAGGAGGTGAAAGAGGCAAAAGTAAACGGTGAGTGAAAGGTGAAAATACTGGTGGGAAGGAATCTCTGGTGGCCTCCAATCCAGTCTCCCACATGGAGCCAACTCTTGCCAGCACCAGATCAGGTCGGTCAAGGTTTTGTTTGGCCAAGCTTTGGGCATCTTCTTTGGCACTCAGAAGTCTGAGCACGGCCCAAAGCACCTTGCCCAGTGTCTCCAGGTTTTCTGGGGTGACAGTAGAAACTGAGCTTGGGTCTTTACCCACCCACACCATGGACCTTTGTGCTGGGTCCCAGTGCTGCAGGGGTGACAGGCCGGTGTGCTGTGATCACCGTTGTGTGGTCTCGCATCCATCAGCTGAACCAGGTTCTGGATTAGCAGGTGGGGGACAATAACCATAAGGGAGAGCTTGGTGTGGTGTTAATTTTCCCCCTGTGACTAATCAGCCTTTGGCTACCATGAGGCACCATGTTCAAGGGGTAGAGTAAGGAAAACCAGCTTGACCAGGAAGTGTCACCTCTACGGGTGGCAGTTTGTCTCAGAGGTCCCTGCTGTCCCAGGCACTGGCTACTCTGGAGGGAAGGGCAGAGGAAGGGGAATAAATGACCCTGCAAACCCACTGCAGGTGGGAGAGGCAATCAGAGGCTTAAGTGGCAAGAAGAGGAGATTCAAGTTAGCCATGGGGAAGATGCTGTAGCAGAGGACAGGGAATACTGGGAGAGGACAGGATTTCTATGGCTGGAGAACCTGCTGCCCATGAACAGGGTGAGACAGTGAGTTAATGCTGTGGTAGCACTGTAGGGATGGGCACCATCACAGAATCTTTCCAGCTCTTCTCCTGGGGATGGCTACAGCCCAGAGGGAAGCCCAGGAGTCTCTCCACTTATTTGTCTTTCCACACCCAGAAAGAATTGCTCCTTCTCCTGGCTGTGCTTCCAAAACCAGCGTGACATCAAAGCCTCTGCCAAAGCAGGTGATAAAACCCGTCCCAAAGGAGACAACCAGGTGAGATGGGTGTGTGGAACTGCTGCTGTTCCTGGCCCGTTATGTGACCATGTGCAGGGGTCCTACCTTCACCCTCATCCCTACACTGCTGGTCGTGCTGGCATTGTCAATCCAGAGAAGAAATGCTGACACACGGGTGGTGGGTTGGGCCAAGTTCCTGAGCACCAGCCCCAACAAGGGTGATGGGTGACAGAGCTTGGTCAATTGTGTTGCAGCATGGCCAAGGGGGGGGTTCCAGGGCTGTTGGTTTCTGGCTGATGTTTCTGCTTCTCTGCATGCACCAGGGTGGCCACAGTGCCCTCTGTCAAAGCTGTCCTGACCTGGAGAAGGCAGCTGAGATCCCATTATGGGTTCTGTGCAGCCCTGAGCATTAACATCAGCTGCCACACGGTGTTTCACTCCCACCACTGTGAGCGTGGAGCTGGATGGGGAGCTCTTCTCTGCCAGTCCTTCCAGCAGTGGGAGAAGGACTGGTGCCTGCATTGCTTGCTCCAGCTCCATCAGCAGCTCCATCAGCACATCGGTAGGTCTCTGGTGAGTGTGTGCCTCTCAGTTGTCCATCTGTCCATCTCTCTTTATGCCTCTCTGTGTGTGGCAGGGACCCCGCACACATCCTTCTGCCGGGAATTGAGTGTAAAGCAGCAAAGAGCCTGACAAGGAAACAAGGGAAAGGTAATGTCACCTCCTTATGGGCTCCCTCCCTGGAAGGCATGTTGCCAGCATGGCCAGTTTGCCCTTTAGCTTGGTCCTGAGGCATCGCTTGATCCTCCTGAGACAATAACCAGGAGCGCACAAAGGAAGGGACAATCCCCTGCCCCAAGGATTTGGGGACCCAGTGATTGAAGGAAGCACCAATACCCTTTTTGACAGAGATAACCGAAGCTCAAGAGCACAGAGCTAGGACTAAACCAACCACTCCCCTGGCACCTCACGTTAAACACAGGCTCACTCTTCCCCTGCCCAGATTCCCCCACTGCCCTGTCCCCACGGGAGCTCTTTAGAGGCAGCTGCTTTGCTGCTGGCAAAGGCACTCCAGGAAAAGCCCCACTCCTCCAGAGATATATGAATTTCCCTGATTAATTGGTACTGAGCAAGTAATCAGCATCTAGCACCCAAAGAAACAAAGGCTGCTCTACTCAGACAAGACAGCAACAGCCCAGTGGGCCAGGACAGGTCAGCTCAGGGCTAGTTCTGCCCCCATGGCCAGCCATCCTGCTTGCCAGTCTCAGGGACAGGGGCAGGAACCCAGCATTCACTCCAGACCTTCCTGGCTACAAGAGCAGAGGCCAAACTCTCCTCTTACAAGATGGGGCACGGCAGTAGTAGAAGACCTCACCTTCTTTGGCTAATGAAAAGCTGCAGGGAGTTGTCCTCCCTGCTATACCTAACCAGCACTCAGAAGAAAATGGGGATGGATCCCCACGGCATCACTCATCCATATCTTCCTGGGGGCTGCTGGGGTCTCTGCTCTGAGCTCTGTGAAGGTACGAGAAGGTTCAGTCATGGCTCTCACCCCTCTCCCTCTCTCCAGCCCATGGGACAAGCGACACATGCAACTGCGATTCTATCCATGCCAGAGGAATCCTCTTCTTCAAACTCTTCTTGAAGCTGGTGGAGTTGGCAGCTCTGCCCCAGAGAATTCTGTTCCAGATTATCAGGTGAGCTCTGTGAGATAGAGAAGGGAGGTCTCCATTTTACCGGGATATTTGTGCCTTATTAACAAAACCTACAGAACACAGAGGCCCCAAGACTAGATTTCCAGGAACATTTCATACCTAGTTGGACATCTAAAAGCACCTGCACGGCTCTACGACACTTGTAGATGTCACCACGTGTCTAGAACACACTTTTTTAGTTGAAATATCCTCACTTCTTTCCAGACCAGCGGGTGCTTGATGAGCGGGGCCTTGGGCTGTGTTTCATGGGACAATGACGCCCTCTTTTGTCTTCTAGTTACTACCAGCAGCAGCTGAGTGACTGCCCTGGCCAAGGAGTCTGGGTGGACGGTGACTTCCTCGAGTGTCACAAAAAGAAGCCCCACAAAACCCAGAAAGAGACTGTTTACTCCCTGCCTTCCTTCATAAGTGTTCCTGCCCTCCACGTCTCAGCCACGAACAAAAGGAAGGCGGTGGGGTACGTGGAGCACCTCGGAGGTAAGGCTTGCACAGCGTCACTCCCGCTCTGTCCGAAAGGGACGTCACCGGAGCTGTGAGGGTGACAACCTGGCTGGGGATTTGCCACAGCTTCTTCTGTTCCCTCCTGGCACGTGGTCTTCTCCAAAGGGGGAGGATCGGTGCTCCTGGTGCTGAGCTCAGCACACCTTTCCCAATGACATTCCCAAGAGGATCACAGAAAGCAGAGGTGGGGCAGACCCCGGGAGTCCATCCAGCTCCAAACCTTCCCAGGTCAAGGTGCAAAGTCAAAGATCTGGAGGGGGTTTTGCTCCGGGGGCTCGTATGGGCAAAGGAATCGCTCTCCAGAGGTGTCTGTTGTGGACACCCCACTGCAAAGCATCCAGGGGTGGGTGAGCGCTGGGTCACCCCAACACCTGCAGGCACCTCTGTGCCAGGGACTGCGACTCCTGGGTCAAAGTGAGGAATTCAGGACCCACTGAGCCCTTCCCCGGTGAGAGGAGACAAACCAAGAGGCAGGAGGCAGCGGGGTGCTAGAGGAGCAGAGCGACCTTGAGTACTGTGTCCAGTTTTGGGCCCCCTACCATAAAAAAGACATCGAGGTGCTGGAGCAGGTCCAGAGAAGGGCGACAAAGATGGTGAGGGGTCTGGAGAATAAGTCTTATGAGGAGAGGCTGAGGGAACTGGGGTTATTCAGCCTGGAGAAGAGGAGGCTGAGGGGAGACCTTATTGCTCTCTACAACTCCATGAAAGGAGGGTGTAGAGAGGTGGGGGTCGGTCTCTTTTCTCAAGTCACAGGCAACAGGACAAGAGGAAATGGCCTCAAGTTGCACCAGGGGAGGTTCAGGCTGGATATTAGGAAAAATTTTTTCACTGAAAGGGTTCTCAGCCCTTGGAATGGGCTGCCCAGGGAGGGGGTTGAGGCACCATCCCTGGAGGTGTTCAAAAGACGGGTTGATGTAGTGCTGGGAGGGATGGTTTAGTGATGGTGATGCTCCTTGTTTGTTGTGTGGGTGTCTATTTTTGTCAGTCAGGTTGACGGTTGGACAAGATGATCTTTAAGGTCCCTTCCCACCTAGAAGATTCTGTGATTCTGTGACTCTGGTTCCTATTTCCCTTTGCCCCGTGCAGGCAGCCCTTACGCCCAGGTCCCCATCTTCCCGCTGGTTTATAAACAAGACACGGCGACACTGACAAAGACAAAAAAGGGCTCGCAGAAGGTGGCGAGGCAGAGGAATGAGCCGACCGCTTCGTTCAGGAGCCACATCTCCCACGAGGAAAGCCAGGGGCAGGAGGTGAGAGACAAGGGCTGTTTCAGCCCCAGAGGAGGTGCGGGGACAAGCCTGGAAACCCACGCTTTGTTTCATCAGGAAGGTGCTCTGGAGCCTCCCGTTCACCACACAAAGCAGAGCTGCTCCCCTGCAGACACCACCGAGCGCCCCGACACGCCACATTCTCCAGCAACAGCCTCCAACGCCCTCCCAGGCAGCCTCGGCAGGACACAAGCACAAGTGAGTGTGAAAGGCAGAGGGAAGATGTGACCCTTTGCCGTACGGGGACGGTAATTAGAGCAGAACTGAGTGCAACTGGTCACTCCTGTAACCTATTAATTAACTGTCTGGTGAACGTCTTAACTAGACGCAGGTATTAAAGAGCAATTTTGTCATAAGCGCAAGGAAAAATGAAACCAGGGTGTAATAATAGCTTAGATGTTTATTACTGTTAATGGTCAGCATGAATTGGTTATAACCTGCCAGCACCACATCGTAACGTGCCACTGAGGTGCTTTCAGTCGTTAGTTTGGAGAAGAGGAGGCTGAGGGGAAACCTTCTTGCTCTCTACAACTACCCGAAAGGAGGGTGTAGCTGGGGGGGTGGTCTCTATTCCCAAGTTAGAGGTGATAGGACAAGAGGAAATGGCCTCAAGTTGCCCCAGGGGAGGTTCAGGTTGGAGATTCGGAAAAATTTCTTCATGCAAAGGATTATCAGGCATTGGAATGGGCTGCCCAGGGAAGTGGTTGGGGCACCATCCGTGGAAGTGTTCAAAAGACAAATTGACATGGTGCTCGGGAATATGGTTTAGTGTTGATGTGTGTTCTGTTTAGGTTTGTTAGGTTTGTTTTGGTTGGGCTAGATGATCTTAAAGGTCCCTTCCAACCTAGGTGATTCTGTGTCTGTAAATACACAGCATGCGCTCTCACCCGGGCAAAACTCAAGTGATTTCCCCCAGCCCGTTGTCCTCTGCCTCCCTTTCAACCTCTCTCCCTCCTCCCAGAAGGCGCAGGCAGCCAACAACGCCTACAGCCTCAGCCAGCGCCTCAGCCTGCTGGAGCTGTGGCAGAAGATCATCAAGGCCCAGATGGGTCTGCAGATGGACGACGAGCGCTTCCACCAGACCTTCTGCACCTACTCCTGGTCCTGGAACGCCTGCCGGGAGCTGGTGACGAGGGCCGATCTCCGCAGGCTGGAGCGCCAGCTCCGCCGCCAGCGGCAGCGGCAAATGGCGGAGGGCCCCCGGCAGAAGCCGTGCCGGGACGACAGCGGCGGCCAGTGACCGCTGGAGAACAACAGCTTGGGCCGGGCCCGCTCCCTCCCGGTGTATCAAATACGAAATAAAAGCTCGGGAAAGGATTTTCCTAGCCACTGCGGCCGCTCCCCACCCCACACCACCGCCCCCGGGCCCGCCATTGCTCTGAGGCGCCGGCCGCGCGCTTCCCGCCACCGCCCCCCCGCCTAGTCCTCTCTCCGGTCGGACGGCGGGGCAGTGCTTCCGGTTCCGGTGGCGCCCGGCCCGTCATGGCGGCGCCCAGGGAGGCGGCGGAGCGGCGGCCCTTCGGGAGGCGCTTCCTCACCGACCCCGCCCGCCTCTTTCAGCACAATGCCTGGTGAGGACGGCCGCAGCCTCCTCGCCCCCTCGGTGCCCGGTTCCGCGTCCCCGGTCCTTCGCTGCCCGCCGCGGCGAGGCCCGAGGAGCTGGCCGAGGCCCTCCGGGACGCTGCTGCCCTGTGGGACCTCTCCGCGTCCGGCTGCGGGGGTCGGGCTGGGGTGGCTGGGCTGTGAGGGGCTTGTCCTCACCGCTCCGGCCTGTCGGTAGTCCGGGGCGAGGCACTGAGTAACGGGGCTCTCGGCGGGCGGGGTGGGTCAGCCCCGAGCAGCCCCGCTCCTCTTCTCGGGGGCCCAGCCGCAGACATTGTTCGGCTTCCTCTCCCAGCGCGCCCAGGTTCGCCTCTGAAGAGCCTGGCGAGTTGTGGAGCAGGCCGGGGGAGCCGTGGGTGTGGGGCTGGCGGCTGGACAGCGATAGGAGCCTGGGGCAGGGGGTTGGCATCCCCCAGGCTGGGTGCTGCCAGCGTGGCAGATGGTGCTGTGAGGGCCTGGAGGTGTGGGAGGGCCGAGGATGCTAATCCCTGGGGGTTCCTGAGCCTCCCTGAGCTCCTCCTGAAGCAGTCAGGATTCCTCAGGCCCCCTTGGATTTCAGGAGTGTTGTTTTGCTCTGTAGCCGTTGTTTCATTGATGAGAGGACATGATTCGTTCATTCATGTCGTCTCTCAGAAATCTGTAACTCTTCTCCATCTGTATATGTTAATGATTAATGTATAAATTGAACAGAAATCATGTCACTCGTCTGCTGCCCTGTGATGCTGTGACAGTATGAGATCGTGCTAGGTGTTAGAAGGAACAGGAGGTCTTTGGTTGGAGGAAGCTGTTGTTACAGGAGAGGTTAGGCACCCAAATTCTCGAATTTGCTGGGAGCTGCAGGTGTTTTGCATTGTTGAAGTAAACATGTCCACTTTTGGTCTCAGGCTGCTAAGCACTATTGAGACTTGGGTATGTTTAATTTGTAATAAAGTAATATGTGCATGTATCAGCTTGTCATTCATTTTGGGACTGTATTATACCAAAGGTATGTTACAAAAGCATATCCTCAATAGTATTTCCCTGCAGAAACTCCTAGTAATCTGTTTTTTTCACAGACTTGACATTTAAGTCTTTGTTTTATGAGTTAATAGCAAAAGACTAATTCATCCTGAGGCCAGAGTAGTGCTCCTTGCTCTTGTAGTCTGCTTTCATTCACTTGTTTTAATGAAAAAAAGGTCAAGTGAATTACTTTAATGACTACACAACTGTGTATGTACATTTGAGTTATTAATAGGTTCTTAATGCTTTAAAGCTTCCTGCATGTTTTCCTTATAATTGGATTTAATATTAATATAATACTTTACCTCCCAAATAACCCTGCTGCCTTTTTTTGTTTTAACTTGAGAAGTAAAGTGTAGTTTTCCAAGACAGCTAAATTGAATGGCCCATGTTGATGATGGACACACAAGCACCAACCTGCTGTCACAAATGCTTTTCACCGTGTGAGAATGGCAGCTCCTCTCCGAGGAAGCTGCTGAGCACCCTCGTGGTTTTATAGTAAGGATTTATTTCCTGTAAACTTGGCTGAGCATCAAGTAGAGAAAAGATTAGGGGACAGGTTTGGTGTCTCTTGGGATCCCTTCCAGTTACATCTGTTGTGCTGCTACGAGTGCAGTTCACTCAGAACCAGGAGCCATAGATGCTGATAGCATTTGTACTGCTGCTGAGCTAGAATTAGAGCTCGTGGAAAAGCTCCACAGCTCCCAGTCTGGAGAGCTGTCTAGACCTTTCTCTTTTCTGTCTTTGCCCTACCATTCTCAGCTGAGCTGTTCATCTTATTTTTTACAACAGGGATAATGTGGAATGGTCAGAAGAGCAGGAAGCCAGTGCCAGGAGTAAAGTTCAAGAGAACAGCTCACAGCTATTGCCACAAGATAAACAAGGTACTTTTGGATACTGCTGTAATGCTGAAGCTTAACTTGTTCATACAAGAGTGGAACGGTCTGGCCAGAGCTGCATATGCATCATCATTTATTTCTCCCTTCACCCCGTCTCCAGAATCATTTAAAATATATTACCTAGTGGTTGATAATGAAAAATGGAGGAGGAATCTTTCTGTTCTTAATTTACCCCTTGGTGACTTTTCCACCTTCTCTAGAGACTCATCCTACTGGCACAGAAATGATCCTGGCTGGGAGGAGTCATCTTGGCTTGAGCTTCTTTGTTCATGTTGTGTATGTTTAAATACTTGCTGGTGTTCTTTGTCAACAGACTTCTTTCAGTGTAGAGCTGCAGCATCATTTAATCTTATTTTCTCTGCTTGCTTTTGCTCTCTAAAGCTTAACTTCTAACAGGCAGTCTTTTGTTTGCTTGCATGCTGTGGAGCTATCCCTAATGCAAGCTTGTTTTTTCTCTTAAGAGGGTCTAAAAAAGTAGTGTTCTACTCTATTCATCTCTACCAGGTTAACAAACAGCACCATAAGCATTAAATCAAAAGCAAAGAAAGATTATTTTATCCTGATTGAAGTGTTTACCATCTGAGAGGCAGAAAAGGGATTCCAGAGTTTTTATTTTCTCAAACTTTGCTTAAAGGCTATTTATACATCCAAAAGGCACATCTTACCTCAATCTGAATCAAGCTAAAGGTGCACAGCTCAAGTAATACAATTGAAGCTGGTCTTGGTTGGTTAATGATGCATCTTTCCTCCACACCTGTTAGATATCATCTACTCCCTTAAATGACAACGAAATGGTTTCCTGTTCTTTGGTATGATAAGAGACATGTTTGATGAGGATCTTGTTGTACCCTGCCGAGCTTTAGGATGGATCTGTTCCTTTTGTTCAAATTAAATTGAGTGTGTCATCTCTAAGGCGATGCTGAACACTACTGGAGCTATTGAGACACTTCCCATATAGCTTCCAGTTGTGTTCACAATAGCAAATTTAATTACACCAAAGAGCAACCCTTCCTAATTTCTTGGATTCCCAGAAGTATCCAGCAGTTTCTATTGTGATGCCCATTGTGTTGAGTTCATTTTCAAATCTGGTTAACATTAAAGGATGCTGTCTGTCATGCTTTGAGAACCTATATACAACTATGAAATTGTGAAGCAATTTGCTGTTAGAGCAGTTTGTCAGGTCTTCATGATGTATTTCCCAGACTGAACAATGGAGGCCAGTCAAATTTTGATGGTTTCTATTCAGGGGGAAGCGTGTGGAGACAATGGGATGGCTGAAACGTAGGGAAGCCAGCCCAGCCAAATGTGCCTGAAGGGTCTAGTATTTTGAGACTCAGTAATGTCCAAGCAGGAGAACAAAGGCAAGCTATTGGTCATTATGGCTGTGTTATTCTGTGGACTTCTTGGGGCTGTCACAATTTGTTCTGAAGAAGGAGAGAAGTTCTGTGGGGTATGTTGAAGATGTGTCTCCTGGCTGGGAACAAAGAAAGAAGCGGAAGAGTTTCTGGGTTTCCTTTTGAGGCTCCATAATTAGCCCCCATGCAATTCAGGGGGTCCCTGGTTCTATTCCTGTCTTTTGTGGACAGTTACTTTTGTTTGCCCTTCTTCTGCAATGTGAAAGGGTGAGTATGGGCTTGGCTTTGGGGGTGTCCTTGTAAGACAAGCAGAAAAATCAGGATTCCTTATCAGAAAAGTCTCTAGAGGAATCTGGCTCGCACGCCGATGTCCCCACGAGCAAATACCACCAAAAGGATCTTGAAGCAAGTATTATGCGAATTCTTCTGGCATAAGTTGTGCAGGAATTCAGACTGAAAAAATTAATGTGGTCATTTTTTTGCTTTAAATCTGTTTCTTGCATTATCTTTGTCAGCTGGCCCTTGATTTCTTGCATTTTTATTGTTACTGAGTCTTTATTCCAGTGCTTTGAAAACACTGGGCTATGAGGTAAACGAATTTTAAATAAAAGCTTCCAAATTCTGTTGGATGCCTCAGTAGCATCCAACAGAATTTCACAATAATTTAACACAGGAAGAGCCCAATGTCTTGTTTGGTGTTATACTATGGCAAAATTGTGGGTAATCCAAAATGGCTGGGCTGGAATTTTCCCCCAGCACCTCAGGTGCTCAGCATCCTGTTACAGTCAGGCTGTTACAGGATTGTTGGGGACCAGCAGGAATCAAACTCCATATTTATGTTGGGTGAAGGAGCATTTCCAGCCCCAGGAGCCTCACATATTCCTATTAGGACCTGGAAGAAGTGAGAGTTCAGGAAGGAGTGTGCCAGGGTACGAGTCAATAACGCTTCCTCCTCTGCCGTTAGCAGTTGCTGAGGTCTCCTATGCAAATAGTAAACTGACTTGACCCTGCTTACTTTGGGCTACAGTGAGATCATGGCACAAATTTATTGCTCTGATCTGATATCAGATATGAAAACTTCTTTCGGCTTGGGGTTTGAGGACAAGGTTTCTTAAAAGGAGAAAATCCTTGTAGTTGAGGTAAAGAAATTATTTTTATATATAGTTCATTGTGCTTCAGATAGCTTCTAAACACTGGTCTACTTTTCAGAAAGACTAATAAATAAACTGCAGTTCATATAATAATGCTAATCTCCAATTTTAAGACACCTGTTTTTTCTCTTAACCCCTCTCTTAGTAGATGTTGGAGAGAGGTTATCTGTTCTCACGTACAGTTGTTGGCTTTAATTGTGGGAGAATCATTTGCATTCAGTAATGGACTTGTTGCCATGCAAAGATGGCTGAGGAGCTGCAAGGTATTGAAATGCAGTTGGGATCTCTGGCCAGGGATGTTAATGTCTCTAGGTGATTACAAGCACAGGATGCTATAATTAGCTCTTATTTCCCAGGACAGAAAAATAGTCACATTGATGAGAATTCAGGAAACCAGTCGGATTTGTAACTTCCCAAGGAAAAAATAGCTCCCTTAGAAGTGTTACTGATCTGAAATCTGTGAAGGTGTGTGGAGATAATTCAGTGGGTGACTCGAATTCATTAGACCATGGCTTTGTAAGAGTTCTTCCAGCTTCTGTAATACTCACCTTGCTACTGGAATGTATCCACTTGGTGTGAAAATGATAACTCTTGCTGCTCAAGTTAACTCTTATCACCTTTAGTCTGTCCACCTTAGCTCCCCACTAGTACGTTAATGACAGTGGTTGCTTCTGCTGATTCCCCTCTTTTGTTTTAATTTCATAAATGCACAATGCTCTAAAATGCACAGAACTATGGAACACAAAGTGCTGGAGGCTGGGCAATACTTGTGTAAAACCTGCTGTCCTGTAATCTTGGGGTATTGCATAAATGCTAATGGAGCTTTCTGCCAGGCCTATATAGTTGACTAATTTTTCTGTTTCTCCGTCTGAAAAAAGGGGTAGCGTGTTGGACAGGACTCTTCAGCTCCAGGCAGCTGCAGAGAATTCCTTAGAAGTTGTAAGTGCTTGACACTTGGTGTCATGAGGCTCCAAATTAATTGTTTCAATGAACTGAACGAGTTAGTGTTAGAGATAGAAGTAAAACCTGGATTTCTTCATTCCAGTCTCCTTCAAAGGGGCCTTTTCTGTTGTCAGCTTCCTTTAAATCCTACCAGGAGACAGGCACTTTCCTCTTCTCTCTCTTTTCCCTTTCTCAGTCCTAACAAAGTGACTGTGAGGAGGCAAGCTGAGTGTTTATGTGACATGGCGCAATTTAAATAAAAGTGATTTATAATCAATAACCTTACTTATTAAAGCAGATTGCTGAATAGATGTCTGCAGTGATCCCACACTGTCTGAACTGATTAAATTCTGAGACCACCTGATTTGACTGCTGGTGACGTTTTTGTTTGTGTTCACAGAGGAATATGAGGTGAATGCTAAAAGGTACTGGGATGACTTTTATAAAATCCATGAAAATGGCTTCTTCAAGGACAGACACTGGCTGTTCACTGAATTTCCTGAGCTGGCACCTAACAGGAAACCAAGGCAAAATGGGGATTCCGTGCATGAATGTAGTAACAAAGAAGAATCCAACAATGAGGGGCTGGGAAGCTGTGCAAATGGACATTGTTCATTGGAAACCAGGGCAGAGAATCAGTTAAACGTGATAAAAAGCACACCCAAGATCTGCACAGAGGAGCTGGCTGCACAGAAGTGTTGTGAGCTGAACCAAAATGCTGGAGATTATCCGGGATCGGCTGCATCTTACCGAATATTAGAGGTAATAGCTCTAAAACAGAGAGTCACACATCAAACAGTCCCTTGTATCGGTGTTAGTGTGACAGGAACATAAAAATGTATATCACTGGCAAAGAACAAGTGAATGGGATAATTGCTCTAAGTCAGTAAAATGCAAAAAAACAGAGGGCAGTTTAGAACTAAATTAAATCTGTTGGGATTCTATTGGTTCAGGCTGTAAATTGGCAGGGCACAAGAACCAGAAGTAGTTCTCGAGTTTAAAAGACAAACTATTACTATCCGATGTTGAAACAAGCATTCAAAAGTCATCTTTTGAAGAAGCTGGTTCTTTTACTTGTCTGTATAAAGCTCTCCCTTCTCGTTTATGTTTTGTGTGTTTGTGCTGACTCTTGTTTGCCTTGGGAGGTGTGGAACAAAACACTGAAACCAAGGATGTAAAGATGCTCTTTGGTTTGTTCCTTATGGCCCATGTAATAACGGGGAATCTCAGACTGATACAGGGTTTGTCCCAGAAAACTCTAAGACTTCTAGATACTACACTCCTGACAGCTGGTAATGGCCTCTTGCTCTGCCACCTCTCCTGTGGGCACTGTAGATACAGCTGGTTTTCATGAATGCTTCATGTTCTACAGAAATTCTGCCCTTCCAGGTAGAGTCAATATGAACCATCCTTTTCATTTTTTTTTTTTATTTAATCTGAAGCTTTGAGACTTCCTTAAATTTATATGTTCTTGGGTCACTGCAGTTTTAGTCTCACCTGAGTATTTTCAGTAATACCTGTCTCTGCGAGGCAACAGTGGTGTTTTTGGCTCAGTCTATTTCAATCTTAATGTTTCCTTAAACATTCATTGGGCAAATTCCCCAAACCCAGTTTGTGAGCCATCTTCTCTTCAAACGGGAACGAGTAGAAGGAATAAGAAGGCAGGATCACTGTAGGCCTAGCTGCAACTTGAGGCAGAGCCATCTAGTGAAGGAAACTCTGAAACAGCAGGATGTAATTATAGTAAAGCAAACTTCTTTCTCCGTTGCTCTGATTTTCTGTGGAAGTGAAGGCAACGAATCCGTGGCCTTTGCCAATGCTTCCGTGACTCATACTGGTTGTTCTGCTTGGGATTCCAGCAATAACAGTTTTCAAAAGAGTAGCAATATATAGCTTGTTAGTAAGATTTCTATGAGAACTGACTTAGTGGTTTCCCACAAAGGCTTACATGCAAGTCTGCTCCTCGGAGCTGAAGGCATTCAGATCGTGCAGTGAGGTTTGCAAATCATCACTGCTGTGCTGAGTTGTAACTCATGAGTTGCTCTTTGTTCCATGGCTGTAGAGAGATGATTGGAATTAGCTGCACGGGACATGCTGAAGAAATTGTTTTCACTGTGTGTACATCTGCTTTGTTTGTGCAGGTTGGCTGTGGTGCTGGAAATACTGTCTTCCCAATTTTACAGACCAACAAGTAAGTAGTTCTCTGTAGGTTTTTACCTGCATGATACACCAGCCTCTGAAAAACAGTTGGGAAAGTGTTGTGTGTGTTCTTAGTTCACAAAATCTCAGAGAAAGGCCAGATGCAAATGGTCCCTTTGCCATGTCCAACTTTAAATGATTGTATTTTTGGTCTTAGAATGCAACCAATGAAACATAATGTGAGTTTACGTGTCTTATTCTGAGAGCATTTTCATACAGGCCTTAGTGTCTCTCCTTTTCCAGAAGGAAAAGTAAGCAGTCAGTTCCCTATGAGAATAACTGAGGCACGAAGGAGCAATGTGATCCACCAGATTTTGCACAGCACATTATTGATGGAGATATAGACTAAAGCCCAAGCTTTCTGGATCCCATTCTGTGCATTCAAGACACTCCTGTAATTCCTATGGAGCGCTCCTATAAATTCCTTTATATAAATGAACACAGTTTCTTTTCTTTTATTTCAGTGACCCAGACCTTTTTGTTTATTGCTGTGATTTTTCTACAACAGCTGTGGATCTTGTCCAGGTAAACTAAAGGGTGACTTTTGGCGGTAGGAAGTAGACGGTGCCAGTTGCACACTAACACAAATATATCACAGCTGCCCCTGGCCCTCTAGCTGTGTTGGCAGCTTTTGGGTTTACCTAGCCCTGATGCTGACCCTTCTACTGGTGAATCACAAAAATGAGCCATCAAAGACCGTAGAAATGAGGGAAGTTGGAGTTCTCAAAATGTCACATTGGCAGCGGACGAGTCAGGCAGATTTTTTTTTCCCCTGTGGTTGGCAGTACTTTTCTAAATCCAGGGCTTTTTCAGTTGAGTAACTGCTGAACCTTGAAAACACTCAAGCGATGTTTTTTTTTAACAGGAACTGAAGCTGGTTTTGGTTTGTGTGTGTGTTACTGTCACTGCAGTTCTGGGAACGTGGTCTGATTGCTGCTGCACAGACAGCTGAGCGGGGGATACTGCTGGCTGTGGAGCAGGAGGCTGGCTGTAATTTAGTCAAAAGACAAATACTGCTAACAGATTTCAGGTCAGAACAGACCTGAGAATATATGAAGTATCAAATGTAATCAGTCTCCTCATGAGAAGAGATGGGGAGCACAGCACAGAGGCAGCATGCCTTTTCACGCTCTTAAACTGACACAAGCAGTGTTTGTAGAGGGTACTGTCATCTCTAACAGCGGCTTTAGAAAAATATACAACTTCTTTTAGAAGTCTACATGTGTTTTTTAAGAGCGTAACTTTAGGCAGCCAGGTTTGACACTTGGGGTATAGGGAGTAGTCGGCTTGTAGTTGAAATGGATATTGATTTCAGTGATGCAGAGAGGGGCCCTGACACTCTCACTTTTGTAAAGGTTTCCAGCTTAAGTGTAAATCCCTCACTTCTTACCACTATTAGTGGAAAATCTGACCTTAAAATTGCAATAATCCCTCAATCCAGTGTTGGGTTTTTGGCAGCACCCGTTGTCTGAATGTTACAAGCCTAAAGCTCATTGTAAATATCTCAGATGTGCTTATTTTTCACATTTCACCCCTGTTCCTTGTTTGACCAGGGAACGTGTCTGACCCCACTTGCCTTAGTCCAGTGAGGCTGAAACAGGTCTCTGGATATACCACTTCATTATGTGAAAGTTAAAATGCTCACCTGTCCAGATAATATTGATATCAGGGTCTGCTCCTAATGCTTTAATTTCTCTCCCATTAAATACAGAACCATGCGGAATACGATTCTTCTCGCTGCTTTGCCTTTGTCCATGACCTGTGCAATGACCAAAGTCCTTTCCCAATGCCAGACCAGAGTCTTGACGTTGTTATTCTTATCTTTGTCCTCTCAGCGATTCTCCCAGAGAAGTAAGTTTTAATAATTCCTTCTGGTTGCAGAAGATAATGCATATAGAACTGGGATTCTTTAATGGTAGATCCCCTCATATCAAGGAAAATTAAAGTTCGTTCTCTGTCTGGTCCGGTTCTCTATTAAGCCTCTGAAGATGAAATTTGCAGGTACTTTCTGTTGTAACAAATTCTGTTTCAGGGTGGATTTGGAAGTGCTGAGGGGCTGTAGGTGATGTCCAGCCGCGCTCACAGTTGCTTATTTGTTCTGAAGCCCAGCCCCACTGAGCACTCAGCGCCTGTTTGTGGGAGGTGTGCTGCTGGATTTTCATGCTCAAAGGCTGGATGAAGTTCTCATATGGGAGGTGGCAAGAAGGGAGGGGACAGGTTCAGGAAACATTTAAGAAAAGTGCTGTGATGGTAGTGTGACAGTGTGTTGCAACCTACTCTAGTCTCTCTTTCTTGTTCCCTTTGGTTTTATTTCACAGCATTTTTCAAGTTCACTTATTACTTATTTTACAGAAAGCAGTGGAGATACTTTTGTAATTAGTAAGAGAGTGCAGTTCATCCCTGCTGTGGCAGGCTAAGTTATTGTTGTAGAAATAAAAGCAGAATCAAGGAGTGTCAGAAATCAGGCGGCCAAATAAAATCAACCCACCTAAGTCTGAGAGAGCTCAGAAAAGTGCTCGGTTTTGGTAGCTCTTTATATGAAGTTGAAACATATATAAAACTTTATAGCTTCTTTTTGGCACGTAGGCTAAGGAAACAAGCATCACTTTGCAGAATGATGATGAGTACTGGTTTTGTTCTTTCCTCAGGATGCAGTGCATCGTTAACAGACTGAGTCGCCTTCTGAAACCAGGAGGGATGATGTTGTTACGAGATTATGGCCGTTACGATCTGGCCCAGCTTCGATTTAAGAAAGGTTTGGTTTGTTTTTTTAACCCTAGGGAGTCTTGCCAGATCACTAATAGATGATGCTTCTCTGGAGTACTGTCTACCCTGCTTAGGAGGCACCTCGTTAATTCTCCTTAAGCACAGCATGCGCTGGGAGAAGTGGCTCTTGTCTTGGCGTGCAGTTGGATTGCAGTTGTTGATTTTTAAATGATAGCTGGTAACTGTTTAAATCCCTTTTGCCCTTAGGTCAGTGTCTCTCTGATAACTTCTATGTGAGAGGTGATGGCACCAGAGTCTACTTCTTCACACAAGGTAGGAGGCTAAAAAACATCCCGCTTACTCTCCTCACCTCTTCTTGTTGCTGTGCCCTCGAGTTTTGCCACTACCTCTTTCCAGCCTGTCTCTCCTGGAGAACTGTGAAATGTTAAGTATCTCCCAGTTGCTTGGGTAACTGGGATTGTCACTTGCTGATGTGAATGGCGTGGTGAATTCTTTAGTGGAAAATAGTTTTAGAGAAAGATTTGTGTGTTTGGTACTGGAATGGGTGGGATCAGAGGAGCTCTCCTTGAATCTTGTTGCCTGCAGAGGATGGAGTGAGATGGACACCACTTGAAGGAACTTCTGTTAATTTTAAGGTTCTCCTATGGGGAAATAAGAAGGTTGTGGTTCAGCGTAGAGCTGAGGGAGCCGCTCCAGTCCTGCTGCTGCTTGGCGTTTGGCAGGGGTTGTGTTCTCCCTGCTGATGACCAGTTGCACCTCCAGTCCCTCCTCACAGGGAGTTTTAGAGCAGTGGCACAACTGCAGTGCACTATTCCCTTCCCCGCTGCACAAGCCTTGTTTGTCACAACAAAATTAATGTTTAATGCGTGTTTGGCAAACGCTTCCCGATGGCAAGGATCTGATAAAAGAGCACAAGCCGGGACCTGTTAGCCCTTTTCTGCAGAAACTCCGTACGAATCACGTGCTCCTGGGCTGCAGTTGAACAAGCTCTTTGCTGCTCAGCAGGACTGGCTCTGGCTTTGCCCAGGGCCAGTGTGCTGGGGCACTACCATCCCTATTTGCTGGGTCAGGAATACCTGCCCCTCCAAGTGTTGCAGCCTCAGGGGCTCTTACTGCTTTGATTGGGCCCCAGCAGGGTGTGGTTTTTTAAGCTGCTTTTTTTTTTTCCCCCCAAACTTAACCTTAATGAATCCTATTCCCTTCCAGCCTATACAGCACAGATCTTATTGCCACCGTTTAAAAGAGTAGGTCTGAGCTACTTCTTTGCTCTTACAGACTCTGAAATTCCTCAGGGGAGGGGAAGGAATGGATCTGTCCCTACTCGCCAGAAGATGCTCCCTTAGTCGGTTACTAGAGGCACTACCCATGGCTGAAAATGCTGCTGTTTTCTCTTTGTCAAGTCTCTATAATCCTAGTTGTGCTCCAAATAATTATTTTCTTCCTTGGTAGAGGGGAAACTGTGATCTCAGTCCCCCCCGTAGCACAGTAGTTAAGTCCTGTCTGATCTTTACATTTTCCTGCTGGAGTGAGACTCTGAGTTTCCTCTGTCCCATCTTTCCACGTAGTTTAACCCTCAGTGTGAGCAAGTGTTGGTTAAATGAAAGCTGTGGCATCCTCAGTCTTCCTTCTTTCTGCTTCCAGATGAATTAAATGATCTCTTCACAACAGCTGGGCTGGAGAAAATCCAGAATCTGGTTGATCGGCGATTGCAAGTGAACCGTGGGAAACAAATGACCATGTATCGAGTGTGGATCCAGTGCAAATACCGCAAACCTGCTGCTCCTCAGCTGTGAGAGAACACAAACACCACAAGCAAGCCTGCTGCCCCTCAACTGGGAGGAAACTGGGGTGTGTTTTTTAGGTTGGAGCCTTTTCATGGCCAGCGTGTCCTCTGATGAGGCACAGTTTTACAGAATTCAGCACACACAGGACCTCAGTGCCTTTTACAGTGCCAAGCATCACTGCAAGTGAGTTTTGTTAAGGATGAATGCTCTAAGAGGAGACCAAGCAGGATTTTAGATGTCTTGCTGCTGGTCTGAGTTTTTTAAATTATTTATGGTTTTAACAACTTAAGAAACGGTCGAACTGCTGAGTAGCGTGTCACTCTTAGTCTGGATTTACACATGAAACAGAAGGAGATCTTCAATCGACCTTACCTCTGTGTTGTGTACTCTTGTCTTGGAAACAAAAAACACACAAAGGGTAAATCTGCTTCTCTTTGCAACTGGTCACTGTGCCCAATGTGGATCCCTTTGCCAGCTGTTCTCATGCAGCTCTTTTCTAGTCATCCAGGTTTGTGCAACTCCACAAGTTAAAATATATTGATAGAGGGCAGGAACTGAAAACATGCTGGTTTCTCTGTGCCAGCTCCCTCATGGGTGCCCTGTGGTGTGCAGATAACCTGTGGAGAAAGCAGATTACACTGCCTTGCCCTGGCTGTCCACAAGAGCATTCATCTAGGAAGCAAGCATGCTATAGCTTGGGTGCTATAAATTCATAACGGGCAGGGGTCAGGCTTTCAAAGATTTGGGGCAGATGCCAGTTTTGGGGCACATCCAGAACACAGAGTATCACAAGCAGCTCACGGGACCAGGGTTTACGCAGAATTACCTGCTTTTTTTTGTGCTTAAACAGTGAGAAACTCTTCTTGGTGGCTGCAGCCCCCAGGTCACGCACTGCACTGCCCTGCCGTGCTGGGGTGCTAAACCCAAGGAGACAAGACAGCTGCCTTTGATAAGAAATCTCAAGAATGTCTACCACTCTTGTTTAATTCCTTAGAGGAAGCCAACATTGTGGCTTTCTGAAGGTATTTCCCCACCTTTGACAGCAAATATCTTTTATCTCAGCTTGTTTTCTTTTGTTATTTTTAGGGCGTGGTACAACAGGTATTAGAATAAATTTTGTGGTAATGCTTTTCAGTGCTGGTTTGATTAATATAAATCAGGCTCCTACAGAATCTCACATGCTTCTACATGCCTGGTCTGAAGGATTTGAGCCACCGTTAGGTAACTACAGGGTTTTTTTCCTCTTCTGTTATCAGGGGGCTCACCTTTCAAGAAGGGAAAGCCTTGCCTGATATCTCCTACCTAGTTCATGAAGGAACAGGGTCTGTTGTGTGCACACCACTGGCTGAAGAGCAGTTTGTGCTACACAAAGCATGTCTATTTTGTCAGCTAGACATTTGTACTTGCAGCTGACAGTTGGCTAAGAATAACCGTCAACTACAGAGACACGTGGGTTATGAAATAACTGCTGTCTTGAAACAGGGGAGAAAGGGTCAAAAGAAGAGGAGATGTCACTGCTGTATTTGGAGAGTCTGCAGGAATCCTGGAGAGTCAAACCAGGAGCACCCGGATTTGGAAAGCTTTGGAAAGGGCTGTGGCAATACTCTGCTGGGCGTGTGGCAGCACGATCAGCTCACAGCTTCTGCCTGGCTGTGTGGCCCTGCAGGTAGGACTGTGTCTGCTGCCCCAAGGCTTCTGGGTCGGGACATTTCAGCCCTTCCTGTGGAAAGGTGACCCTGCAAATCCATTCTCACCACAAAGGCAGGTGCCGAGGCAGGAATGGAAATGCACCTTTGCTTTGCTTTGTAGATCTAGCCCTTTTAAAGACTGTTGAAAGGGAATCAAATAACTGGGAAGAGAATTCTTGTTCAGTTTGCTACACTATATTTTCTAAAGGGCTAAAAGACTTTCCAGCCCCTGTGTGACCCTGCAAATCCATTCTCACCACAAAGGCAGGTGCCGAGGCAGGAATGGAAATGCACCTTTGCTTTGTAGATCTAGACTGTTGAAAGGGAATCAAGGAACTGGGAGGAGAATTCTTGGTCAGTTTGCTATACTATATTTTCTAAAGGGCTAAGAGACTTTCCAGCCCCTGCAAATGAAATAGGAGGAGATAAGGCTTCTTTCTTCCTAAGCACATTTGATTTCTGCCATTCACAAGCCCTGACCCAGCCCAGAAGTGGTGGAGTCGCTGCTGTGTTTTTATGCTAAACCTACAAAGTCTGGTTCCCTGGCAAGGTTGGTACCTCAGGCAAGGTCTAGGCAAAACACAGCTCGAGGCGTCTGGGAGCTGAGCAAGCTCCTGTCTTCTCATCTTAGCAAAAGGAGTCCAGTGAGTGTTCAACATGACGTGATGGGACTCATGTAACCAGCTCTGTCGCTCCCAGTGAAAGACCTCCCATGTGTTACTGGTGCCTTCAGCAGTTCCCCCAGGGTCCTTTCCCACTTGGTCCCCAGGGGGAGACCTCCTCCTGGGACAGCTTTATCTCCCTGGAAGAAAAATTATTGACTGGGGTAAACAAGCAGCATAATTAGTGTGAATTAAAGTAATTTGGAAAATGCCTTATTAATCATCCAAAGGCTTGTAAGCAGCGCAGGAAAATATGTTTATAATTAAAAACATGATTTATTTAAAGTTGATGGACTCCTCTTTAAATTTAAACTCCTGAATGGGAGAAAATGAAGGCCAGTAATTTATTTGTTTCTGCTTTCAAGGCTACGTCCCAGTTGCCTGCCTGGTTTTGACTCGGGCTTCATGCAAAAACTTGCAGCCCTGGGAGCCTGCAGCCATTGAAGTGGCTCTTTGCCTTTCCCAACGCTCTTCTGCTGGAGCATTTAGGCAGTCCCTGAGCATGACCCACGCTGGGCAGACATGCTTTTGTTTCCACTCCTGTTGGTGTTCAGAAAGCAACAAGTTAATGGCCTTGGCTTGAGCCGGGCCTCCTACAGACAGATACTGTCTGGGGTTCCTTTGGTAATCTCCGCCAGCTCCGGTTCTCTCCGGAGGATCTGCTCTGCTCTCCTGCCACTCCGGGCTCTGCCTCCCCCAGGGCTCTGCTCAGGTGCCTCAGCCCTGACTTGCAGCAGCTTCTGCCATTCCCACCTCTGGCCTGCTGAGCAGCCTGGGTTGCACAACAGCTTCCTACCACCTTCAAAGGAAATCTCTGAATCCACTTCCACTGCCTTGAAAAGCCAGGTTAAGTGCCTTTATTATTTTTTTTAATTTTCATTATTATATATATATTTTTTTTTAGCAGTGTCATGTTAGCTCTCAAGCCATTCTGGACGTATCTGCTCTGGTTTTGTTCCCAGTGTTCCAGCCTTGTGGTCTGTGGCCGACAGGCAATGCCAACGTAGCTTGTCCAACCTCCCAAGCAGAAGAGATGATTTCATAGCCCTTCAGAGGCACTGCCCCTGCAGTTCTGGAGCCAGACATTGTTACACTTCAGAACGTCTGGTCCTGGCTTTTGCCAGAGGATGGTGGATTTCCTTGGAGGTTCGTAGATTGTTTTGGCTGGAAGGGAACTGTATCATCACCTATTCTGACCCTTTGCGTAACCCTTTCATGTAGGGATTGTGGCAGTGGAGCCTGTGACTTGGGCTGAGCCAGAACTAGTCTTTCAGAAAGGCTTTCAGACCAGCCATGGTGCTGAGGGCTCCAGGGAATGGCAAAGAACACTTTGCCTCCCCAGGTTCAGCGTTGCTTTCACAGCACCCTGATTTCACAGATGGGCTGGGAACTGGGAGGCAGGAAGGGAACAAGAGGCTGGTGAGTATTTTTGATACCCTCACTTCGAAAATAAATAAATCGTCAATTCCACTGAAAAATGGGGCTTTCCCAGGATCTTCCTGACAGCACAGGAAAGCGGGAAAAGGCAGTCATCCGTAGTGATTTTTATTGTTACAGTAATAATCATCAAATGCTTGTGGCCAGAAGCATTTAAGACCAGACACAATTGTCTTCTCTCCCAAATACTTCAGCTCCACCTTCTCAGGGTACGTCACCACCGTTTCTAATTCTGTAGTTAGTTGTAGAGCTCTGGGATAAATGATACCTGCTTATTTTCAATAAAACAGAGGCGTGAGCAGGAGGAACCTCCACGTGTGCAGGTCTTTGGCGTTGCATCCTAACTAAAGCTGAAAGAGTTTCCTTTTGTTGTTGGCGTTGGGATGAGCCCCGGCTGGTCCCCAGTTGGGTTCCCCATGGGAATCACAGATCCAGACTGAACTTGACTGGTTTTCCTGACCACAAGTGAAAGCTGGGTGGGCTTCAGTGCCTAAAGGTGAGGGCACGGATGAGGCTGCAGGGATCGAGTTATTAAGGGGTCTGGGGAGCATCCTTCCATCTCCATAAAGACAGAGGGAAACTGAGTCGTGCAGTCATCTTTGTTCTCCTGATCACTCTGAATTTCACTGAATTTCAGAGTTGGAAGGGACCATAGAGATCATCTAGTCCAACCCCCCTGCTGAAGCAGGATTGCCCAGAGCTTGTCAGAGCATGTTACTCAGGAGCATCCAGGCAGGTCTTGAAAATCTCCAAGGAAGGGGACTCCACACCCTCCCTGGGCAGCCTGTTCCAGGGCTCTGGCACCCTCACTGTGAAGAAGTTTCTCCTCATATTTGAGTGGAACCTCTTCTGTTCCAGCTTGTGCCCGTTGCCCCTCGTCCTCTCACTGGGAACCACTGAAAAGAGTCTGGCTCCCTCCTCCTTCAACCCTCCCTTGAGATACTTGTCAGCATTGATAAGGTCTCCCCTCAGCTTCTCTTCTCCAGACTAAAGGGTCCCAGCTCTCTCAGTCTTTCCTCATAAGGGAGATGCTCCAATCCTTGAATCATCAGATCACTCAACGGGATCTGGTTTGTCAATCAGAGCAGTGCCACCGCGTTTGGTTTGGGGCTGTATTGGAGAAAATTAGTCCAGAAGAGAAGACTCATGATCAGGATCACTTTTGCTCCTGTAGCTATTTGCCTACCCTGACGGGGGGATGTGCTTGACACCGTGTCCTTCGTACGGCGTCCGTAGGATTGTGATTCCAACGGTGCTGTTACATGTGTTTTCAGGGCACGATAGAAATTACTGAAGAAGTGAGGAGGAAGAAGGAGGTTTTTTTGGAGGGTTCTCCTGCGAAGTGAAGTGCTCTAGAGGGAAAGGAATTGTCAGCTCCGTGCTTAATCAGCAAAGCTCTGGAGTTTGTTCTTAGCTCTTGCTGAAGGCAGTGGGTTCCTGTGTGCAAGCGCCGGGCGGAATGGGAGCTTGTGTTGCTGGGAAAGTGGGACACGGTGCAGGAAATTACCTGTGTAGGCAACAGTGAGTGCTAATTTCAACTAAATAGGATGCAGCTACCTCTGTTACGGGGAGCACAAAGCAGAGCTGGGAGCTTGGCTGGAGCCCAGGCAGGGGGAAGCAGGAGAAGCTGAGCCCCGTGTGCCCCTGCTTTTGTCTCCTGCCCGAAGGCTGCGTGGTGTGACGGGAGGTGTCCTGCCAGGGAAGGCCTTTGCTCCTGAAAATACAGTCTTAGACCCCCAGCTGGATGAGTGGGACACACTGTGATTGAAAAGCATTGATGGCAAAGGTAATTAACAAATCTAACGTGTCAGCACCTGCCTGGAGCTCCCAGCCTGTTGGTCCATGGCTGTTTCCAGGAAGGAAGAACATCCTGGTGAGGTTTGGCCCCTGCTGCTCTAAAACGTGCTCCCTGGTATTGAATAACCCCAAAGAGTCTTCACTGCAAGCACCACCACAGTGTGTGAACAACTTGATTTTGGGATGGAGAGCGAGCATGATTGCTGTATTGAGGTTGTTTTAATAGTTTTTTTTCAGTCCAAAGGACCCTTGTAGCTCTTGCATTTTCATGTTATTTGGGGGTTGGGGAGTTTTGGGTGGTTGCAGCTGATCCTTTGGCCGATGAAACTTTCTTCCAACTCGTGTGAAGTGGGCAGTTGCTGTTTGCAGTCCTGGGTGGCAGAGGTTGGGCTCACACCTCTGCATTGTGCGTGGGGAGCACCAGGGGATCTGCTCTGCCCCTCTTAAGTGGAGAGATACCCTGGTACCCTGCCACGCTGCTCCAGGGGCACGGGATGTGCCTTTCCTTATGTAGAGAGAAAACTGGGTGGATCCATCCTGCTTCTTCATC